TTTAAAAAACGCTTCTAAACGCAAACGTGCATAAACATGTTATGCAAACACGGCTAACAGATGTTTTTTAACCTGCGTTTTCCAGCAGTCAGTTTCCATCGCTCAGAAGTGTCCCGTGTACATGGGGCCTAAGACGTTTCAAACTTCATTGTGTATACATGGAGATGAGTTGGCGCAAGTTAGATGTCCACTGTCAGGTCCATATCCCCACTGTGGGTGGAGAGTAAGAAAGTGAAGGGGGGAGGGGATAAAAAGCCCACTGCTACGTCCAGCAGAAGATCCACGGGGGCACCAAGACGGTTAGTACTTCAAGGCAGCCTTCAGGGTAGAGTAGAAGCAGGTCTCCAATGTCACATGTGAAAAAAAAATCAAGAAGGCGCCACTGAGTGCAGACCATTAACACTTTATTAGAACCAATACTGTGAATTTTCACTCATTGTGAAGGATAAATACAGGCACATCTGGAGTCCAATAAAATCATCTGGGAGCGGTCGGCATCTGACCCGCAGCATGATGTGCCTGTATTTATCCTTCACAATGTGAGTGCAAATTCATGGTATGGTTTGTAATAAAGTGTACATTCATATTTCAGCTCACTAGATGGGCTTATAACCAAAACCTTTAAAAAAAAAAAAAAAAAAAAAAACAAGCGAGCAATGGCTGACTTTATATTTCTCTCCTCATGGATCCTCTTTAACCACTTGAGCACCAGCCTGTAATGGCCTTTCACATGAATTTTGTGCCATTTCTGAGACAGAGCTTTCCTTTGGTGGTATTTAAAAAGTGCTGGGTTTTTAATTTTTACTGTAAAATGGAGACAGACCAAAAACATAGAAAAAAGAGTTTCTCTTATAGTCTGTTAAAAATGCTAAACAAAAAAAAGAGAAACCCACATCCTTACTGCTCGAACAGTAAAGAACCCCTTACGCAGCTTGAAATCGAATCATGCTTACAGTCAGAAAATGAAAGTGTTTGTAAAGCTCAAAATAAAAAATCATGGATCTGTCTCTATTGCTATTTGTTTAATTATTATTATACAGGATTTATATAGCGCCAACAGTTTGCTCAGCACTTTACAATATAATGGGAGACAATACAGTTCAATACAAGAGGGATAGGAGGGCCGTGCTCCTTGGAGCTTACAATCTAGGAGGGAGGGGATAACATATTAATTGTGCTAGTAGTGATTCTTGATTACCTGGATGATCCTGCCAGTTCCTGTTATCCTGTTAACAAACCGACCACGCTAGCATGGAAGACCATGTACCCTGTCATCACGAATTTCGATACAAGCACGCTGTACGCACAGCATGTTTGTATCTTCCGTATTTTGGCTAAAGCCACACATGCGCGTCCCCCTCCCGGCCATCCCAACAGTGTCATTGGACTTGCTGGGGAAAGGGGGAAGTGACACCATGCCACAGGCATTACATCACTTCCTGCAATGATGTCTGACTGGCTCTCGAACCTCCTACCTGTTGGTCTGTAAATTGCAGATCTGTGAAGGGCGTGATGTGACCTGCATATCAACGGCATAATAAAGAGCTACAGGCAAGGTTTCCTTACATTGTAAATGCCAGTGTTTTTATAATGTATTCTAGCATCTCTTCAAAAATGCTGCTCTGAGTAATTAACTTTACAACCAATTTAAGTCCTGCTAGATCACTACAGGCTGGCCCCTTTTTCTTTGCAAAACATTAAAAATAAGTGCCTATACTGTTTAAAATCCATTAATACATGGTCTCACCCTGCTCTGCACATACTCAGTTGCTCTCTAATTTTAGGCACTGTGATGATTTTTGTAGAGGCCGATCTGCTGACAGCCTAAAGATTTACTGCTGCTCAGGGTTTCTGGGCTTCAGCAAAATGGCAGCCTCCAGAAAGAAGGAACAAGGATGCTGAAGGCAATTTACAGCACACAGATAATTACAAAAAACCTCCTGCGCTCACAAGGACTCCTACCCTATAACCATAAGCTGCTGACACTAAGCTTATACCCAAAATAAGTGAATAAACAGTGCAAAAATTATGAGTGCAGCGCTAATTAGTAACTAATAGAACCGTAATACAATATATACTCAATCCCCAAAATAAATCCAAGATACTCAATACATATACAGTGTCATGCATGTATTCCCTCATGGGGAATATCTCGTGCAAAAATCGTGAAAATAAAGTAATATATACTAATAATAAACAGTGCCACACAAAAAGTGCACAAAGGAATAAACGATAGTTCAAATACGAGAAAAGTCCAAAGTTAATAATAATAATAATACTGATGATGCTGTGCTTAATGATGAACTTCACACTCCACTCTTCATGCAAAATTATGTGCAGTGTACGTGATTCACACGTGACAATCCTTAACAGCCAAAATGCCCCCTCACCTCCTTCTTTAGACCCCAAGGGGCCAGCACGCTTTCAGGATCACACGATCCTATCAGTATGGATCACTCTCTAGAAAATATCTTCCTCCTCCAGCGTCCACCAGTTTAGCAGCCAGCTCCTCCCAGGGTCATAGTAAGACACAAGCAGAGACCCTCCATAGTGCAACCAGTAATTTTATTGGTAATAGGTATAAAAAGTAGATTTCCACTCACAAAACGATGAATCTTCCAGCCTCCTACCACATGCTATGGGTGTACTGCATGGGTAATACACAGGGTGTTCCAATATGGCCCCCACGCCGGAAATGACGTCACCACCGGCGTGGGGGCCATATTGGAACACCTTGTGTATTACCCATGCAGTACACCCATAGCATGTGGTAGGAGGCTGGAAGATTCATCGTTTTGTGAGTGGAAATCTACTTTTTATACCTATTACCAATAAAATTACTGGTTGCACTATGGAGGGTCTCTGCTTGTGTCTTACTATGACCCTGGGAGGAGCTGGCTGCTAAACTGGTGGACGCTGGAGGAGGAAGATATTTTCTAGAGAGTGATCCATACTGATAGGATCGTGTGATCCTGAAAGCGTGCTGGCCCCTTGGGGTCTAAAGAAGGAGGTGAGGGGGCATTTTGGCTGTTAAGGATTGTCACGTGTGAATCACGTACACTGCACATAATTTTGCATGAAGAGTGGAGTGTGAAGTTCATCATTAAGCACAGCATCATCAGTATTATTATTATTAACTTTGGACTTTTCTCGTATTTGAACTATCGTTTATTCCTTTGTGCACTTTTTGTGTGGCACTGTTTATTATTAGTATATATGTTATTATAGTATATATTACTTTATTTTCACGATTTTTGCACGAGATATTCCCCATGAGGGAATACATGCATGACACTGTATATGTATTGAGTATCTTGGATTTATTTTGGGGATTGAGTATATATTGTATTACGGTTCTATTAGTTACTAATTAGCGCTGCACTCATAATTTTTGCACAATTTACAGCACACGCTAATTTTGGTAGCATAATTTCATAAAGTGATTCTAAAGGTTTAAATAAAAAAAAAAAATAAAAAAAAAATAAAAAATAAGTCCTACTTACCTGCTGTGTGCAGTGGGTTTACAAAGAGCAATTCAAATCCTCCTCTTCTCAGGTCCCCCTCCAGCATTCCTGGTCCCTCCCTCCTTGCTATGGGGGCACCCAAGCATGTGCACTCCTCAACTGCTGCTCCGTGTGTCTATTCACACACGAAGCCGCTGCTTAGCCCCCACCCCCCTCTCCTCATTGGCTCAATGGCTGTGATTGACAGCAGCGGGAGCCACTAGAGTGCTGAGGTGAGATTAGGGGGGCTGGGGGGATGCTGCACAGAGAAGGTTTCTTAGCTTCATGAATACAATGCATGAAGGTAAAAAAACCTTGATCCTTTACAACCACTTGGTTCTCTTACTTACCTGAGCCTGATCCTGATACAGTGAGTGCATGAGAGCAATGGCTGTCCCGGGTCTCTCCCTCCCCTTTTGGCTGAGACAGCAGTTGACAACCGCTACTGTCAATCACAGCCAGTGAGGAGGGAGTGAGGGGCGGGGATGAGCCATGCTCTGGGTGTCTAAAAGATACACAAAGGTGGCTCAGGAGCGAGCACGCACTAGTGAGGCACTCGGGGTTAGGGGGAGACAGGAGCTCCAGCGGGGGACTCGAAGGGGAGGATTGGGGCTGCTGTGTGCAGAACCATTGCACAGAGCAGGTAAGCATGATATGTTTGCTATTTTTAAAACAAAAAATCCAAACCTTTGGTATCCCTTTAATATGGAATGTATGTTCCTTGCGAAAGAACATTATTTTTCCACTTTAAGAAATCTTTTTGGCTGACAGGAGCCTAGGCTTCTCATCGGACTTAAAGCAGAACTTTACTCCCTCAATGAGCCTTGGTTATTTTTAATCCTTATGCTGCTAGCATTATTAAATGTATAAGAAGATATATTAATTACTTGTGTTAAACTTTTTTTGTTTTTACAATTCTCCAGTTGCTTCCTGGTTTCTGGCATAGGCAAATGATGTCATACATCCCAGGAGGGGAGGAGGAGCTTTCTCAGCTAAGCATACCCTCCTGCCTAAGCTAAGGGCTACTTGACTCACTCAAGATGAGCATGGCCAGAAATGCCAAGGGGGTGTTTTTTTTTTTTTTTTTTTTTTTAAGTAATTTCTCTGCAAATAAAGCATGGAGATATGGATGGATGGGGGAATTTTGCTTTGAATGTTAAAAAATGAATAAAATAGCAAATAGAATGCAGTGTACTTCTGCTTTAAATTGATTGGGTGAAGGAGGTCGAGTGCTTTTCAGTGTAAACTGCTCCGCACGTTGGAAGCTTGACTTCTTTCAGACCTCGGTCTACAACTTGGTGTAAGGCCAGGTTGGAATGTAATGGCTCTTACTGGAACTTTCAGAATTACAACAGCCCCACTGCTGGGGAGTATTTTTGCTTTCACTGGAGTTCAGATTTTAAACATAGAAATGTTCCATAAATAGTTGTTTTTGCCACATTCAGTGTGTTAAAAAAAGAAATTTATTTATATCTGTTTTTTCTTTATTACAGTGCAATGAAGATACGGTATCTTTTGCTGTTTCCCATCCTGGGATTCAGCTTCGCTGTGCCAATTGAAAGAAACACCACCAAAAAAAGAGGAGGAGCGTCCTGCTGAATCCGCAGTAGTAAGTATTTTCTGCAGCTCTGTGGACTCTGTGTACTTTAGGCAGGCAATAGACGATGTGATTTTCTTTCTTGCAATCACGGGTTGCAGGAAGGAATATCGCTTGATTCCCCTATCAGTACAGTCAGTGTGGATGGGGGAATCCCTCCCGTAGAGCTATTGTTATGTTCTCCTGGTGGGGGGGGGGCCCCTGCCAGGAGAACACAATGATTATAGCTAGTGGCATAGCCACTGGCAATAATCACATGTAAGAATAAGACATGCTGGTTGTACCCAAGTAAATCCATGGATCGACTTGGGTACAACAAGACTGCCCATAGGTGATTCGAACCAAACCAATGTGTTACAGCTGAAGGCAAGGAGAATATAAACGTAATAAACTACTCTTACCAAAGTTTAAAAAAAAAAAACTGTGGCTTCTTTGTCAGTTTTAGTCCTTGGCATAATAAAGAATATACTTTCCCATCACTTTATGATACCTAGTGAGTGTAAATCTTATTACAAGTGTTCTTTATCAATCTAGATTCTGCATGTATATGGCCTTTTTAAAGATATCTTTGCTGACAACAGCTTTCTGAAAAGCAATCTGTAGCAGTAGTCCAGTGGCTTCCAGGTGTTCAGGAGACGTTTTTCATTTTTTTTGTTTTTTTTTTTTCCCCCCCGAAGATCGATTTTCATACAATTACAACTCTGCAGTTGCAGGCCAAATGTTTAGTTGATGGCTGCAACAAAGTCCCATGAACTTCAGTGGGTGAGTTTCACAGGCGGTGCTGTCTGGCATACCTGACATGCTCAGTTAATTTTGCTGTAGGCATGAAGTAAAGCATGACCACCACAGCATGTGTAGAGCCTAAAGTAGAATTCCAGCATGAACTTATCTAGTCTTAAAAATATCCCCCTTCCCTTCCTAACACCTATGCTGATTAACCTGTGTAAAAAAGATGCATTTATTTACCTATTTTCAGGCCGCCCGCTCTGGTCTGGTCACATGATCCAGCTTCCTGTGTCAGCCAATGGCGGCTGCAGGAAGAGGAGGGAATGCCGACAATGTATGGGCCATAGGGGTCTATGGATGACATCACCATTTCCAACCATTGTAGAGCACTCTTTCCTCTCCCCTGCAGCTGCTGCTGACTGACACACAAGATCATGTGACTGAACTGTAGCAGGTTGGAAACAGGTCGGTATAAACATCTTTTCACACAGGTTAGTCTGCATAGGTGTTAGGAGGGAGGAGGAGACATTATAGGACTACATTGGTTTATGCTGGAGTTCTACTTTAAAAGAGAAGTTCAGTAATGCAAAAAAAAAAAAAAAAATCTTAATCACCTAGGTGGATGCAGTATCGGTCCAATGCTACATCTGTCCCCTGCTGCGCCTCTAAGACCAGGAACTGAGCAATCAAAGACGACTGGCTGCTCAGTTCTTGGTCTTCAGTCAGCAGAGAGCCGGTGACTGTCAGTCACCGGCTCTCTGCTCTGCCCCTCCGACATTCACTGGAGAGCTGGGCTATGGATGGGGTGGGAAAGGCTGGCTCAGGCTCTCAGTGGCTTGTTGAGAGGCTGAGTCAGCTGTCAGTCAGGATCTGGGTGGATCCCACCTTTTTAAAGTTGGCATCTCTCCAGAGTCTTGACTGGCTGCGTGACATTAGCCAACAGCGACCTGTAGCCCTCTGTTGGCTGAAAACGGGGTAACAGGAGTTCAGAACGAAGTGTACACCCGTGATCCCCAAGAGAAGTAGGACCAGAAGAGCTTTGGCCCTACTTGTGCTTTTAAGGATGATTTAAAGCTTTCATGAAAGCACTTGGAAGCTTGCTGTACACATTTTACTTATGCTGTATCTGTTTTGGGCCTTCTCAAATCTTCTTTTTGTTTTTTTTTTTTTTTTTCTTTTTCTCCCTGCTGAAAATTCAGTGTACACATAATGCAGGATTTTACCATTTTCTAGTTTGGCTCTTCTGGAATGAAGAAAGATAATAAAGAAACCATAACAGAGCAAACATGCTGTGTTCTTTGTAGGAAACACAAGTTGCAACTTTCAATTTTGGTTGTATTTTTTTTTTTTTTTATATATATATATTTATACAATGCCTGATGACACCATTAGCAGCACCTACACTCTGTCTTGTCACAGGACACTGGCCTGTACTATGATCGTTATCTGAAAGAGGTAATTGATGTGCTGGAGACAGACAACCATTTCCGTGAAAAGCTTCAAACCGCCAACGCAGAAGACATTAAGGTAAGATTGTGTAACAGAGCCAGTCATCTGTACGGTACACTTCCAAGCTGTCCTGGCTTAGCTAATATTTGCAATTCTGTCTGTTGACTTGTTGGTGGAACAAAGTACAGTTTTAAATATAACAGCTGAAGATATCTCTAGACATTGGACTTAATTCCTGCAGTTTGACATACCTTTGCCACTGCTCATCTTTACAATCTGCTGGAACACAGTCCGCTGAAATGAAAAATTGTGATGCAATTATATGCTAACTTTTTTTTTAAAGGTGCAAGCTCCAAGACTGTCATTCTGATCCTTGCTACCTAGAGAGTCACTGATCTAGAGTAGCTAGTGAAGTCTGAGCTCCTGTACTCCCAAGCTTGTGCCAGGTCACTGAACCACTAGTTGTTGAATCCAGGTTGAGGAAGACAGCCCCAGAGCCTACACCTGGGGTGCTCAACCTTTTGAAAAGCGTGGGCCTCTTGAGTGATTTGCTAACCGGCCACAAGCCGCAATGAAATGAAATGGTTCACAATGTTAATTTTTTGACATTGAATAGCATAATGAACATTCTATTCCTCCTGCTGCTGAATGCCACCAAGAGGGAGAAGAAGAGAATCACCCTCTATGGCCGCCTGCTTCCTCCGCACCCAACAACAGCTCGATGCACTCTGGGATGGTGGGTCAGCAAGCCCAGATCACGATCAATCGGTTGCTTACTCTAGGCATGTTCTGCCCTCGTTTGAGGTCGCGGGCCACGGGTTTAGCAGCCCTGACCACTACACCTTTGAAAAAAAAAAGCCAGCAGGAGCAGCTCACATATTTTTGCCTTCACAGGGTTACTTTACTTTTTTTTTTACTGCACGGGACATATATACTATATGTCATGGAATTCAAATGAAAAAAATAACTCAAAACTGCAAGAGTTTGTTTTAAATGTTGCCAGCTAGTTTTCCTGTGATCATCAGTGTTTTGGGGAGCTATAGGACTAAACTCTTACTCTTGAGCTGCTGCTGGCCCCTCCCGAGCCCCCCTCGCTATTCCTCCTGGCCCTAGATACCCTCTGTAAGGAATTTCAGGATGAATAGCAGTGGAGCATCAGTGATCTCATGTTTACCAATCTCCTGGTCTGAGAGAATATAGCAACATACAGATCTCAGTTCAGAATTTAGTGTTCTGGCAGTAGCAACCACTTGAAGAAAACCTTCACTCAGTATTTTAATAATTAAAAGTCGGCAGCACTGTCTTCTGATTATTATCACCGCTGGATTGTCGGTGCCACCATCTTGGATTTGGGAGCTGGCTTTGACTTTCTGATGAATCCAGCATGGGATGTGGGACGTATTGATACGGTTGCGAGTGTGAGACAAGATGTCATTCTTGCCTAGGCAAGTATTGGGGAAGTGGGGGCCGGTTCCATAACCAAATTTTCCCCATAAAAATTCTGAAACTTTGTTACAGGCTCGGGGGAGGGAGAGGATGAGCAGTACTTCACTTTTTTTTGAGCGAAGTTTTTGGCTTTAATATGAAGACTGTCTTAAAACTGCATAGGATGGATACATCAAGGAGGACCACTGATGTCTTCAGAAGAAGAGTCTTTGGTTTGGGAAAATATATAATTTTTGGGGTTGCTTGTAAATGTCTAAGTCCTTTTTGTGCATTTGTTTTGAAAAATGGAAAAAATTGCATAGCAAGGATAAGGTTAAACTACGCAGCTGTTCTATTAAACTACAGTTCATCCAAACTCTGAAGTCCATTAGCTGAAAAGTTGAAGTCAGGCTTGTACTACTTTCACACTGATTTGTAGCAAAAAAACAGCAAAAACACACATGCATTTTTACTGCCTTTGCTGTGCATTTTTTACAGGGCATGTGATTTAAAAAACCGCATCAAAAACACAATGTGGATGCATTTTTCATGCCTTTTTGCCACGTTTTCCATTCATTTCAATGAGGAGATGTGTGTTTGGTGCATTTTTTATACCACATCAAACCTACACCAAAAATGCAGCAAGCAGTATTTTAAAAAAACACAGCCGACCAGCAACGGATCAGAGTGAAGAGTTCCATAGGAATACATGGTCACATGTTTTTCTTCTGCTTTTTTTTAAAAGCAAGAGAAAAATGGATGAGTGCGAATGCAGCCTTACAATGGGAGTTCCCCACTTGTTATTTCATGGAGTAAAGCAAAGCTGAATAGCTAACCATGTGAAAATAAAATAACCCCCCCCATTTTGGCTTTAAGGAAAACCTGAAATATTAATATGCTGTATGTTGCCATGTTTATCATTCTATTTTTAAATATTTTAATTTTTAGTTCATATAATTTTAAGAGACATTCTGTATAGAAACACTATGAACTCACTTTGATGGCTATATCCACTCCTCTTCTCAGAGTGGGAAACTCAGCAAGGAGCTGGACTTTGTAAGTCATCATGTGAGGACCAGACTGGATGAGCTCAAACGACAGGAAGTCTCAAGGCTACGCATGCTAATCAAAGCCAAGATGGATTCTACCATGGAGGAAAGTAAGTAGAGATATAGGCACATTGTATCCAATGGATACATACCTACTGTGCAAAGCGTTTTTTTTTTTTTTTGTTTTGTTTTTTTTTTTTTTGAATAGCAGTACATGTAGAAACAAAAAAAAAGTAAACTCTTGGTGTACTCAAAATACCAAATTTTGGTTTCCATTGGCTACTTGCACATGGAACTACCAAAATGTGGGACTGTGGCTCCTTTCCAGTCAAGTACATTGTAAGCAATCGCCTCAACTCTTCCCCATCCCAAAAAAAGGCAAAATCTACTACATAAAAGAAGGCCTATGTGTCAAAACAAATGTGTAATTTACTTAGGATAAAGCATTGTACCCCATAGTCTTGAGTGAGCTAATAATTCAGTACATATAAGAATTAGACTACCTGAACCATCTCAGATGCCCCAACATTTAACAGATTTGGCTATATTTATATTGTAAAGAGCTGCGCAAACAGTTGGTGCTACAGTCAGGTCCATACATATTGGGACATCGACACAATTCTAACATTTTTGGCTCTATACACCACCACAATGGATTTGAAATGAAAGGAGCAAGATGTGCTTTAACTACAGACTGTCAGCTTTAATTTGAGGGTATTTACATCCAAATCGGGTGAACAGTGTAGGAATTACAACAGTTTGCATATGTGCCTCCCACTTGTTAAGGGACCAAAAGTAATGGGACAATTGGCTTCTCAGCTGTTCCATGGCCAGATGTGTGTTATTCCCTCATTATCCCAATTACAATGAGCAGATAAAAGGTCCAGAGTTCATTTCAAGTGTGCTATTTGCATTTGGAATCTGTTGCTGTCAACTCTCAAGATGAGATCCAAATAGCTGTCACTATCAGTGAAGCAAGCCATCATTAGGCTGAAAAAACAAAACAAACCCATCAGAGAGATAGCAAAAACATTAGGCGTGGCCAAAACAACTATTTGGAACATTCTTAAAAAGAAGGAACGCACCGGTGAGCTCAGCAACACCGAAAAACCCGGAAGACCACGGAAAACAACTGTGGTGGATGCAGCCTGTGTGGTTAAGCTCTGATAGAAGCTGCCATTCATCAACTCATGTGCTGCAAGTTTAGCTATCCTGCTCCAGACCTAGCACTGCATGTGACACATGAGTCAGGAAATAGCTGCTTCTGCTGGAAGCTAATCACACAAGTGTTTTGCTTCATGACAAATGGTACATGTTGCAGTATTTTATTATGTTTACTTTTAATAATCTGACTGCATTTGTGTTCTATAGATGTTCAGATTGATCACCTTGCTTTATTGAAGCAGTTTGAGCATTTGGACCCCCAGAACCAGCACACATTTGAGGCTCGAGATTTGGAATTACTGATCCAGGCTGTAAGTATGATATAGTATTGGGGTGTTCCCAGATTTCTTTTCGACTCGGTTTGTGTGAATGTTTATATACTACATTGTTTAAATATCAGATTGGGTCTTATGTCAAGGAGCATTATTCCCTGCTATAAAGCAACTGGCAGGAACACAGTTATTCACAGTTCCTAAGCAGCATTACCCACTTCAATAACCGGCACTTTCACTCCTTTCCTGCCTAGGCCAATTTTCAGTTTCATGCAACACTGTTCCCAATTGACATTTTTATCATTTTTTTGAGACAAATAGAGCTTTCTTTTGGTGGTATTTAACCACTGCTGTGTTTTTTTTTGTTTTGTTTTTTCCAAGATATTTTGTCTTTTTTCATTTGTTTAGCAAAAAAATAATAAAAGTTTTCTTTGTTCTAAAAATTTTGCAAATAAGTAATTTTTCTTCACTGATCTGCACTGATGAGGAGGCACTATAGAGGCTGCACTGATGGGTCTGCACTGATGATCAGTGCCCTGATTATCAGTGTAAACACATGTACATGTACTGACAGCCTTACCGGTTATCGGCTGTCCTTTCTCTCACAAACACCGTGAGAAGAGGATTGCCGATAACTGGCAAGTCTGTTTACATGTGATCAGCTGTGATTGGACACAGCTGATCACATTGTAAAGGGTCACTGTGATTGGCCTTTTTCCATGATCTGTGATCAGCTGTGTCCAAAGAACAAAGGGGTTACAGAGCTCAGGAGGCACGGTTCTGGGATGATGTCCATGGACATTCTCCCAAAACTGGAAGACTGTGCTGTAGCCATTTTTCAGCTATAGCGTGGTCTGCAAGTGTTTAAAGGCTGACTGATGCTAGTTTAAAATGCCTACAAACACACATAATACAGATGGCACAGCATTTAGCAATTTCGGTTTTAGCAAGGGAGCTTTTTGTGAACTGCAGGGCAGTTTTCCATATTGGTGGTCTTTTTAGCCCACCTCACCAATATTGGTCTAGTTGCACTAATCCTTGTGACAACAACCCTCACAATGATCTTGACATATTCACAAAAGTTCAGGAGAACCCTGTTTGATTTTGCTTAGGCCACAAAGGATCTTGAAAACTATGATGCTGCTCGACATGAAGAGTTTAAACGCTATGAAATGAAGGAAGGAACACGAGAGGAGGGAATATCTCAAGTCACTAGATGAAGACAAAAGAAAAATGGAAGAGGCTCACTTTGAAGAGATGAAGAAAAAGCATAGGGAACATCCCAAAGTGAACGTACCTGTAAGTATGCCAGAACATAGATTATTCTTCTTTTATCAGCTTTCCTTGTAAAAACTGCCTTTTGACAGTTAAAGTAAACTTATGTCCTTCAATATAATATGACCAAGCATTACAGATGACGTGTAGGTGCCTTTTTAGACCCTGTGAGTACCTACACTCCTCTTCAAATGGGTTCCTTGGTGTCTGTGAAGCACCCGGGATCCTAGGTCAAGGCTGTATCCAAATTGAGATTAAACTCCACCTGTCAAATGTCTGAGCTTCTACTGTCCAAATGGGTTCTGACCTATGACGGGGCTGAAGGGGTTGGTACTTGGCATCTACTTTGGCCTGGGCTTAGGAATCTGGGTCCTCCAAAGGCTCAAAGGAGCTAATGTGAAGACAAATGCAAGTACTTGTGCCTACGCTTTACTAGTAATGTAAATTTATAAACTTTGGTGGACATGACTTCCACTTCAAAGCTGAACTGTGGGGATAAAAAACAATTACCTTTGCAGTGGGTCTCCCCCCTTCTTTGCGAGGGTAACTGTTCAATTTGCCCAGGGGATGATGAATAAGGTGATAAACCTACCGTTTCCTTTTCTTTTCTGCTCTTCCCTGTTGTCTAACGCTTTGGAATGTGGGCAAGCTGTTAGCATCCTACATTGCACTAGATGACAACAGAGAGCTGCGACTGGTTAGGTAATGAAGAAAAGAGGCTTCAGAGGACCTGTTCCTTGGAGAGGATGGAGCCTGCGGGAGCAAGGAATAAGGTAAGTCTATAGTATACATCAGCCCCTGGACTGATGAGCAGTTAACCCTTGCAGTTGGGAGGGGTACTCAGTTTTAAAGCACTTTACTCTTAACCAACTCCACAAAATGTATTAAACCAGGGAACAGTGGAGCAAAGGAAATGTAACTTCACTATTGTGACCCCATTTTGAAGTTCCAGTCTAAATTACATCTGTAGTGTGTTCCTTCAAATTCCTGGGGTGTCACAGATTTCCATATATTATGCTATAATAAATACACCTTTGTAGTATCTCAAGTATCTGTAGCCAGGGGTGCAGATTAGCAGTTATGCCTTTACTGGCTGCATGCTTGTTCCAGTTAAATAACTCACAAAGCACTAAGCCAGAGGCTCAGAATATCTAGTATTCTCAGAAGGTCAGCAGTGGAAGCACAGGTTGTGAATCTCTTAGAACTATATCTACAGTGATTCTTGTCATCTTGCATTATGAAAAATGATAACTTGGAAGAGCTGCATTAAAGGATAAGTTCAATGAGAACAGTATGATCTGGCACTTAACAGGACCTTTCGTAATGCAAACAATATATTAGGGAGTCCTTATAAGGACTTTCTAGGACTTCTAAGTCCTAGAATTCTACAAGATATAAAAAATTTAAAGAGGCACAGGTGGCAGCCATCCACAGAGTGTGGCCAGCTCTGTAGGGAAGACAGTAAGGGAAGAACAGGAGGTGCCAGCTAAGTGCAGGATGTGTATAAGGATGGTTTATTAAAAGCGATTAAAAACACTCACAAGATGGCTAAAACTTGAGACTTATCAGATTGTAGGTCTCTAGCTCGCTCCTTTATCAGGGTCTGCCACTGTCATCTAGGCTGGAAGATGGGACAATTGAGCCGGGACCCCCTGTGTACATTAGGAAGTGCACCCCAAAGGATAAGTTCACCTTTTGTAACATGTTACACCCATATTCAGGGTGTAACATGTTATCAACGGACTGGCCCCTGCTCCTCCGTGCTCCCCGTTGTGACACCTAATGGGTTGATCGGCTTCTCCCCACTAGCTGTCACAATTTAAGAAAGCGGGGTTGTGCCCGCCCAGCCACGTCCATTGACGTGTTCTGCTGAATGCTGGTGCAATGCTTTAGAGTTCCCAGAAATAATAAATAATGCACATTTTTTACCTGCAAAAACAAAACCTGCATTTCTTATTTTTTGTAAAAAGGTGAACAAATCCTTTTAAATTGCTTGCCACAGTATGAAAGGCAACATTTTTATCTGTAATCTGTATTATTTCCATAACTAGGGGAGCAAGGATCAACTGAAAGAGGTCTGGGAGGAGACCGATGGCCTGGATCCTAATGATTTCAACCCCAAAACTTTCTTCAAATTACATGGTAAGACAGTATTGTTTGGGTTAAATTAATGTGAGCTCTGTGTATAGTAAAAAAGAAAACTTGGACTTTTATAAAAAAAAATAATAATTTATACTTGCACAGATAGGCCTATATAAATTCTAGCACTAGAAGCACAGTGGCTAATTGGTTAAATAATCATTTCTTTACTCTTCTACAAGTTGCCTTTTCCTTAAGTTTTCAAAATTGCGGTATAGTGATTGTAGCCATGTCTGTGAACAACACAGTTGGGTACTGTCCATGATACTTTTTTAATTTGCACGAAGTGCAGACGATCTTCTGTGTTTACTTTTTGTTGTTCAATATCAAATGCACATGTTTTTGCAGGAAAAAAAAGTGCATTTATCTATGTTCCTTCATAGCAGCCTGCAAAGCATTGCACTCACATTGCACACTGTCCACTGGGGGGGGGGGGTTGCTTAGCACATGTTACACCGTAAATATGGATTTACCTTGTTGTTAAAGCTGGAGTTGGCCTTTAAACCCTTCCCATCTGCCCCAGTGTTCATTAAAAAAGGTTTTAGAATGCTCAGGGGCTGGAAGGGCTGGTGATCATGTGACCACTGTGATTGGCTGTTTGCAATAGTTGCCTAATCGGGAGGCGGTCCCACGGAATACTAATTCTCAGAGGGGACCAAGAGCTGTCTTTTTACAAGTGCACTCTCAGCACAGAAACATTGGCCAACAAGTGAAGCATATGCTTGGCATGTGAGCATTAAAGCCTACCCCTTTGCCACTGCACATATGTTACATGGGCGGCAACAGGTTAGAGTGACACAATTCTGGTTTTAAAAAAAAATTCTCTTCAAATCTGACATTCCAGCTTGGTCACCTTATACAGGGTCAATCCACTAAACCAAAGTCACTAGGTTTGTGTAGATTTCCTCTGGCAGCAAGGTTGTTACACTCAAGTTTCAAGTTCTGCCAGGCTTCAGATGTCATTACGTCTTGCTCTCCCTGCTGGATAGGATTGCAAATGGTAGGAGCTGGAGTCCTTATAAGAAACCAATATGTAATTCAATCTGTTAATTTCTAGTATTAAAAAAAAAAATAAAGTGACACTAAGTTATGTTAAAAAAAAAAATCTATTCAAGTATGTATTAACTTAACGACTTCCAGTCCGGACACTTTTACCCCCTTCCTGTCCAGGCCAATTTTCAGCTTTCAGCACTATCACACTTTAAATGACAATTACGCGGTCATGCAACACTGTACCCATATGAATTTTTTAGCAATTTTTTTGACAGATAAAGCTTTATTTTGGTGTTATTTATTTACCACTGGGTTTTTAATTTTTTTTTTGCTATGTAAATTAAAAAGTGCAAAAATTAAAAAAAAAAAGTTTCTTATAAAATTTTGAAAATAAATAGTATTTCATCAAAATCTTGGCCAAAATGTATTCCGTCATCTTTTTAGTAAAAAAAAAACAAAAAAAAACAAATTTAGTTTATAACCAAAAATTATAATTTTTAAACTTTTTTTTTTTTTTTATATATATATATATATTTTTTTTTACATTACATACTGTCACCCTAGCACGGGTGTCAGCAACCCGCGGCTCCGGAGCCGCATGCGGCTCTTTTTCACCTTTCCTGCGGCTCCGGAGCACACTGCCCACCAGGTGACAGGCAATAGGGTCGGCAAGCCGCGGCTCTTTTAATGCAGCTCTTCTGTGTGTCGGGCGCCCGCTGGCAAACATTGGCTCTCAGGATGTAGGCGGGGCAGCGTGACAAACTCCTCTCCTCTCACAGTCCGCCCTGAAGACCAGAACGGCGCGGGACACAGCGAGAGGAACGCGCGGAGCAAAGGTAAGTGAATTGACACAATATGGGGAATGAATTACTATATGGGGGATGAATTACTATATGGGGGATGAATTACTATATGGGGGATGAATTACTATATGGGGGATGAATTACTATAGGGGGGGGGATGAATTACTATAGGGGGGATGAATTACTATAGGGGGGATGAATTACTATAGGGGGGATGAATTACTATAGGGGGGATGAATTACTATAGGGGGATGAATTACTATAGGGGGGATGAATTACTATAGGGGGGATGAATTACTATAGGGGGGATGAATTACTATAGGGGGGATGAATTACTATAGGGGGGATGAATTACTATATGGGGGATGAATTACTATATGGGGGATGTATTTTCAGTTTTAAAAATGTTTCTCTCAAAATAAATTTCAATCGTGGTTTTGGCGAGATTTGGCTCAGTTGAAAAAAAAAGGTTGCCCACCACTGACCTAAGGCTATGATTGTGATTATGACGATACACTGTGGCCCTGATTAACCCTTTGCTTACTGGGCCCTTAAACCCCCTTCATGACCAGAGCGTTTTTTGCAATATATGCAGTGTCGGATTTGTTTTAAATGTTGCAATGGTTTTGCGGCTCCCAGTCTTTTTTTCCCTCTCGGAAACGGGTCCAAGTGGCTCTTTATGTCTTAAAGGTTGCAGACCCCTGCCCTAGCAGTACAGTGTCACCATGGTGACACTGTACTACTTGTGGGGGGTGATGATTTTTTTTTTTTTTACTTTTTACACTGATTGCTTTTACACCCATAAAGGCTGTAAAAGCAATAATTTCTCCTTCTCTCTAGCTGCATTCCTGCAGCCATTGAGAAATACTGTGTGAGCTGTGATGATTGGTCACAGCTTGTCACATGGTACAAGGCTGTTGTGAATAGCCTTATACCATGTGACCTCTGTGATCATTCACAGATTTCACACGTAGTAAGCAATGATGTCACAAGTGACATCTTGCTTACTGCTCTGCATGTGATCACTGATTGGCCAACGAGTGATCACATGATCGGGACCTCGCACAGAGGTCCCGTCTGACGATCGGTGTTCCACTGTGTCCTGGATCGCGGTGCTGCGCGCTCCCAGGGAGCACGCACCGCTAGAAAATGCGGGTGCCGTTTATGAACGGCAACTTGCCCCTGGAGTGCCACCGTCCTGCTGTTTTATAAACAGCAGGCAGATGGCAAGTGGTTAAAGTGCATTCTATTGTTCTCAGCTTCCTCCAAATCTCCAAATGTATTTATTTTTGCTGATGTGATCTGACTTCCTTTTAGAGCAGTGGTCTCCAGACTACTGCCTGCAGGCTGAATGTGGCTTTTTGATTGCTTTATTTGACCCGTGCAGCACCATTCTATCTACTGACACCAATGATGGGGCACTATTCCTTCCACTGACACAAGTGTTTGGGCACCATTGCTCCCACAGACAACATCAATGGGGCACTATTCCTCCACTAAATTCCAACAATGGGGCCCCATTCCTCCCACTAATACCAACAGTGGGGCACTATTTATCGCACTAACACCGGGGCATTTTCTAATCCCACCAGCTACAGTCTGGCCACCCTACGACCTGAAGGACTGTTAACTGGCTGTTCGCTTAGAAATTTGGAAACCCTTGTTTTAGAGGATGGCTACATTCATTCTCCGTTGCCCCACTGTATGTAGGAACGTAGCCACCCTCTCTTGTTTGCTGCTGAGATGTACCTGGGACTATGGACCATGGACATTGGGATGTGTGCTCTACATAGAGCAGTGCACATGACCACAATGAACATAAACTGCTAGTTCCAAACAAATAGAAGTGAGGAGGAAAAAACACAGAAGAGACCCATTTCTCAATGGTTTCAAATAGTTTACAGCACCAATAAGTAGTGGAAGAGTATGGGTTATTTTTGAAAAATAAGGATGTTGTTTAGTGTCACTTTATTTTTTTTTTTTAAAAAACTAGCTGTTTGCCTTCAAAGTGCGCCCTCCTGTTTTGCTCACTTGTCGTAACACTGGGAAGGCTGCAAGTCTAGCTGTTTTAAAGTGGAATTATACTGACCTTCATCCCAGCAGTGACGTGTTCTGGAGCTCCCTGATGGCCACATACATCTTTGGCTGGCCGTCTTCCAGTTTCTGATTTTGGTTTGCCAGGCCGAAAAGACATCACTTCAGCTTTCATTCATCTCGGCAGATGCCAAAATTGTAAACTGAGCTGCTCATGACTGTGGTCATGACATTAAATTGTAGGCTTTTCAGGGCGGGGACTGCAGGTACTATTCTGACAAACTTTAGAGTTTGTTGGCACTTAATGAATTAAAGGTGCATTAAACACAAAAGCAAAAATTGAAAATATTAGTTTATTGATCTTTAAATGCAGTAACTGCATTCGTTTTATTTCCTTTCGTTTACTTTCGCCTGCTGTTCTGGCCAGTAACACACTTCCTGCTTAAGTTGTCTCCACTCTACTGGAAAAGCAACAGAGACACCTTTTGGACAGCAGCATTGTCAGTCTGGGGACAGGGTAGTGTTAGATGAGTGAGTAGATTTAGATGAACTTGATAAACAAGTTTAAAGCCAAACTCCAGCTAACACATTTTTTTAAGAAGCAACCGTGTTTTGTTTTGTTTTCCTTTTAGGATAACGATTTTACATAAATGAATAAAAGCTGACCATTGAAAACACTCCTGTCAGTGTTTAAATCGTTTGTCTCAACTTTCTCACTGCCACTTTTGCTGGGCAGCTTAAAAGTTAAAAAATAACAGGCTTACTGGCAGGATCACCAGGTAGAAAAGAAAAAAAGACAAAAAAAAAAAGAAAACTAATGCAGCCATCACATCTAACAATTGGTAAGACATAGCTGGTATCAATCATTGCTCTGTATGTTTCTTTGATAGATGCTAATGAAGATGGCGTTCTGGATGAACAAGAACTAGAGGCCCTCTTTACAAAGGAGGTACATTCAGCTCTGTGCTTATATCAACATGGAAATGCAGATGTCCCTATAAAACTAGTTCTCATATTGATATGTGACTTTAATAAGAGATCTGTACACATACCTGACTTTTTTTTATGTAGCAAAAAAGTGCAATTGTTAAGTCTTTGCCTCCAAAACATTGCTTTGTACTACCATTTCTTGGTACTACAAAGAAAGCTAGGTAGATTGTCTCATTTCTTAATTATTCCTTAGGACTGATTCTGCTTTATTGACAAAATATGATGATTACTGATTGAATATCTACGAGGAGTTTAGCCCATACAGCATAATATCCTAGTGTCTTTGGGCACAAGGGAGACACAAGTGCAGCATAAAGTCCACTGCCAGCAACGTGTCAAAATCAATAGCAGAATGGATACACGACTGGACGTTGTTCTGAGTGATACTTGCGTTTGATTTGGAAAAACTGCTGGCAGGGGCTTTTTGCTGCACCTGTGTCTTACTTGCATCCAAAAATAGAGATGGTACGATGTACAAGGCAAATTGCCCATGTTCATTGAGCTTTAAAAAATGTTTTTTTTTTTTTTTTTAATGAAACCATCCTTATTTTGTTTTGAACGATGATATAGTTAATTTATTGTTGATATTGTATATGATTTCAAAACTAATTAAAGCAATTATCTTAAGCGTACAGTACAGGACATAGGTTTGATATTTCTAGACCTTGGGTTATGGGCTGGTCCCTTTAGGTAATTGAATGCTGACAAAGATTTTGAAGACACACCCCCTGGGCATCCTGTATAACCCTATCCTCAGTTTTTTAGTTTTTTTTACTGGTGTCCTAAGGTGATGGACTCCTTCTCTTTTAGAGAGAAATCACTTTTAAAGTAGTTGTAAAGTCTCAGTAATACACTCCATTTTCCTCTCTATAGGACCATAGTAATTGTAGTGTGTGTTTTTTTTTTTTTTTTTTTCCTAAATAACATTTCTTAGTACCAGCAGCTCTGCATGGTCACATGATCTTCTCTCCTCTCATTTCCAAGCACAGTGAGTCCAGCAGACAATGGAATGACAGGGACAGGCAGGGAGGAAGAGAGGGAGATGCAAACATGCTGTAGGGAGAGCAGGGTGACTGAATGACCTAAACTGACCATGCTATTGAATCAGCAGTCATGATTAGTGTGGTGTTTATAGACCGGAACTGACAGAATCCGGTATTTTACAACATGGAAAGGACTACATAACTGCAAGCTCACTATGCAGTCTATCTTGCCTTAAAGGATAAGTTCACCTTTCATAACATGTTACACCCATATTCAGGGTGTAACATGTTATGAATGCATCGGTCCCCCTCCGCCTGCCTGGGTGCATCATTCATTCATGGTGTTCCTGCGTTTAAAGATGGCTCAATTGTGTAAGCAGGTGCTGCAGCAACCATCAGCTGGAACCGAGCCAGAAGAATGTCACCAGCAAACCATGGATCTCCAGTGTGGGTCCAAAGCTTTATTAAGCAACCACATAATTACAGCAAGAGCAACATTTCGGAGCCTCACAGGACTCCATCAGGCATGTGATGAGTTTGATCCCGATATGCTTGCTGTAGAAGAGTTAGCCATGAAGGGGAATGTAGAGGATTCGGAAGTGGTGTTAGAAGAAGCTGCAGAAGATTTCTCACCCCCATGCTCCTAAACACCTGATGTTACTGCTTCCTACAATATGCTTGATGATGTCGATATGCACACTTCTGTTATGTGCAAAAGTTTTTACAGTGTCACACTTGTTTCTCCTCTATCTCGCAATGCCCCTTTTGTGTACTAAGAGACCTGTTAAGTCTAAGAAGACTTTTCCCCATTCATGAACAGATAAAATGAGCAATCTATGAAGACTGGGAATCCAGAAAAGATTTTCACCCCTACAAAAAAGTGTTTTGCCCTGACAGTAGATCCTGCTGTTTCAGTCTGTATTTATTGAAGATTTTCCTTCCTTCAAAGATTCTGCTAACAGAATGTTTGAGACATTCTTAAAGGCTATCTTACTTTTGCAGGCCTAGCTCTGCAACCAGCTATTGCTGCAATTTCTATTTGTCCAACTGCAGCTAATTGGACTAGGACAATGATCAACCAACATGATACTGTATTCCTGGACTGTACTTTGACTGAACAATTACAGCAGTTACCTTATGCTTTGCTCTTCTGTGTGAATGCCCTAGAACAAGTCATGACACAAATCTCCAGAATGGCTATTTCTGTTCACATGCTCAGAATCTTATGGCTCAAAGCTTGGTCGGCTGAACCTGCAGTACAAGATGTCTCACACATATATGCTCTTTTAAGGCAGACGTCTGCCTGCTTCTCAATTAAATGGATGCCCTCACTCCTTAGAGAGAGGGGGGGCATCTGTTACAGTTTGCCTCTCTCTGGGTCAGACATCCCAGACCTGTAGTTTCAGGTGTACACAAGTTCAAAACTCTACCCCAACACTTTCTTCTTTCAAACCAATCTATATTTACCCAAGTTTAGTCAGATTTGCAGAACACTCTGAACCATGTATTATCCCAGGGAGTAGTTGTTACAGTACTTCTGGAGGACAAGTTCAAAGGGTTCTATTCACACTTCTTAAGGGTACCAAAACTCATCAGGGGTATTTGTCCTATCCTGAAACTAAATTCTTTAAACAAGTACCTTCAAATGCTGAAGTTTCAAAAAGAATCAGCAAGGTAAGTAATTGTCTCTCTGAGACAAGGGGATGACCTTGCATCTTTAGATATGCCATTACCCACCTCATCTTCAAATAAATCCCTGATCACCCCCCCCCCCCCCAGAGTAGTATAATGCTACTATGGTAACATTGAACTATGATGAAAGTATTTATAAAAAAAAAAAAAGAATAGTAACAAAGAAAAATGTTTAAAAAAAAATTGAGAGACATTTTAAAAAAAAAACATTTACTATTCTTTTTTTTAAATACTTCCATCATAGTACTACTAACGTAGTACTACTTGCCGCCCGCCCCCCCAACAACGTGTGGGTGAGCGGCGGCTCTGGGCAAAGCAACATAATCTTATGTCTCTTTCTATTTCCGGGTGTGCATGTCCCCCCGCTGCCCCCTATGCCATCCAGGGAGAGAAGAACGAACACAGCCCCGAGTAAAAGAATTGCACTTTACACACACACACGTTAGATTAGCACATTTAACTCTTTGATTGCCCCTATTAACACTTTGATCACCCAGCTAGTGCCATTAGTATAGTGTCAGTATATAGAATGTTTCACTGATCACTGCATTACTGCCACTAGCGACATGTCTCTGCTGTTACTTATATGCCCGACATGGACCAGCAGCATTGCGGAACTTTGATATGGTTATTATATCATAGCAGTTTTTTTTTTTTTTTCCAGCTGGTGGTCAGCTTTCATGTAAAAAGAATCCTAGCTGCTAATTGGATCGCTTTTACAAGCAGCGGGAAGGGATTACCACCACCTACCCCCCCCCCCCCCCCCCATCCGCAACCTTCCAAGGTTTTGTTGAGCTCTCCTATCCCATCGGGGAACCCAAAAATGCAGCCGGCAGTTCCACTGGCTGACAATAGAGCTGATCGGAGACTGGAGTGCCTCCAGTCATCTCTATGGTCTAAGAGACCAGAAGCTACAAGCATTTCATCATTTCCATTTCGCCAGATATAAAACTGGGAAAAGCATCTGATTAATCACACCGATATTGGTGTGATCAGATGCTTTAAGGGCAGAGGAGAGATCTAGAGTCTAATAGACCCCAGATTTCTCAGTACCTGTCCCTGCCTATTGCTATCCCAGGGGATATTATCATTCCCTGTGATAATAAAAGTGATTGAAAAAAAAAAATTAAAGGGACAGTATAATAATAAAAAAAAAAAAAAAGCAGCAAAGCAAATAATGAAAAAATTAATCTCCACTCCCATCCCTGTGCTCAAACGCAAAGGCAATCGGCGGTCCTGTGACGGTATGTAAACGGAGATTGCACCATACGTGTGAGGTATCACCGTGGACATCAAATCGGTATTTCTAGCAGCACTAGACAGCCTTTGTAAATCTAAAGTCATGACCTGTAAAGGCTTTTAAAGCACCACCTATGGATATTAAACATTTCTGTCATTTGGGGGAGGACGTGCTTCTACTATCCTGGCATTTCAGGGCCAACATTAGAAGGACCAGGACATTACTGAGCTTCTGGACAGTGAGGTGCAACCTGGCGTCATTGGATGGACCAAAACATGATATCCCAGAGGTGTTCTATTGGATTTATGTCAGGCAAGCGTGGGGGCCATTCAGTGGTATCAATTCCTTCATCCTCCAGGAACTCTTGAGAACGCCCTGTGGGAGGGGCGAAACGCGTTGACGCATTTCCGGTTTTATTTGCATGTCCGACGTCACTTCCGGTGAGTGGAGCGCACGCTGAGTGGTGCGTTCCAGCGGCCATCTTTGTGGGATTTATATATGTGTGGTCTCTGTGGAGCTTCTGCTGGAACCTGGGACTGTGATGTGAGATTCTGTGAGAGGTTACCTTGCATCTACTGTTCATCTGGAGAGAAGCTTGCCTTAATAAATATGCCTTTTTAAAGTGAAATTAATGTGAGTGGCCTTAATCCTTGATTTCACATATGAAATGGTGTCTTACAATATCACACTATTTGAGATTTTTTTCTCCCTGGTCGGATGGTGGAGCCCATGTTGGAGGAGAGGATTCCTATAGAGTGGATACGAAAGAGGGGTGTAGGATCCCATAAAATTCCTAAAAGGCGTTTTATTCACCTATATCTGGTGAGTGCATTTGATATTGGTTTTCACGGGTGGAAGGTGGAAGTTTCTTTACAAGAAGAAAGTGAAAAGATTTCTTTCTTTTTTTTTTTTCTTTTTTTTTTTTTTTTTTTTTTTTGCACATATATTTTTGAATATTTTTGAACTTTAGTTTATTTTGATGGATTTCACTATTTATATAAGAATTTGATGGACTGCACCATTTAAATTGTATTTTGTTTTACAAAATTTTTTTTGCACTTTTTTGATTTTATGTAGAGGTCTATGTTTTGCGCTGTTATTTTATTTTTTCATCCTCCAGGAACTGCCTGCATATTTTCACCACATGAGGCCGGGCATTATGCACCAAAAGGAACTCGGGACCCATTGCACCAGCGTAGGGTCTGACAGTGGGTCTAAGAATTTCATCTCGATACCTAATGGCAGTCAGGGTGCCATTGTCTAGCCTGTAGAGGTCTGTGTGTCCCTCCCGAGACCATCACTGACCCAACACCAAAATGGTCATGCTGAACGATGTCACAGGCATCATAATGTTCTCCACGGCTTCTCCAGACCCTTTCACGTCTGTCACATGTGCTCAGGATAAACCTGCTCTCACAGGGTGCCAGTGGCGAACCTGCCAATTCTAGTGTTCAATGGCAAATGCCAATCGAGCTCTGTGGTGCCGGGCAGTGAGCACAGGGCCCTCTAGAGGATGTCGAGCCCTCAGGCCACTCTCGTGGAGTCTGTTTCTGATTGTTTGGTCAGACATTCACACCAGTGGCCTGCTGGAAGTCATTTTGTAGGGTTCTGGCAGTGCTTATCCTGTTCCTCTTTGCACAAAAGAGCATATACCGGTCCTGCTGATGGGTTTAAAGACCTTCTATGGCCCTGTCCAGCTCTCCTAGAGTAACTGCCTGTCTCCTGGAATCTCCTCCATGCTCTTGAGACTGTGCTGGGAGACACAGCAAACCTTCTGGCAATGGCACGTATTGATGTGCCATCCTGGAGGAGCTGGACTGCCTGTACAACCTCTGGAGGGTCCAGGTATCGCCTCATGCTACCAGTAGCGACACTGACCCTAGCCAAATGCAAAACTAATGAAAAACAGTCAGAAAAGATGAGTAAGAAAACCAGTGTCAGTGGTCTCCACCTGTAGAACCATTCCTGTTTTTGGGGGGGTCGTCTCATTGTTGCCCACCTAGTGCACCTGTTGTTAATTTCATTAACACCAAAGCAGCTGAAACTGAGTAACAACCCCCTCTGCTACTTAACTGATCAGATCAATATCCCAGGAGTTTAATTGACTTGATGCTATACTCCTGATTAAAAGCTTTCACACAATCCAATTATTAAAAAATGTCTGTTGTGGTGGTTTTTTTTTTTTTTTTCAAAATTTTCAGTCTTTTTTTTCGTTTATATCACAAAAAATAAAAAAATCCATTGGTGATCAAATACCAGCAAGAGAGCTCCATTTTTCGTTTTGGTTACAGCATTGCATGACCGCGCAATTACCAGTTGAAATAGCGCAGTGCCGAATAGCAAAAATGGCCTGGTCAGTGAGGGGGGTAAATGTTCCAGAGGGCAAGTGGTTAATTCTGCAGTTCAGAGGATGTTTCTGAGCCAGTGAATGTGTAAAGACCTAAAAAAAATTTAATAACCTCGTATCCCACTTTTTTTTTTTTTTTCTTTTTTTTACCCATATGGCACAATTTGTACCTACCAAAGATCTGCACTTACTGCTGTCCGTTAGCATGCGGTATGCAGGTTTTCTTTTTGGGCACTTTCAAAGCCTGAAACATTTTTTTTGCAACAATAACCAATTCTTTTTGCACTGCAAAAATGAACTATTTGGATGCTGTGCCAATACAGGAAACTTTAAACATTGTGCAGAGTATAATGTATAGTTATGTATGTATAGTAATGCTCTTATTGTAATACGTCCTGCAAAGCTCCAGGATGAAATCACTTGTATGGTGTACTTTGTTTCCCATTTATATAGCTGGAGAAGGTCTATGATCCAAAGAATGAAGAGGATGACATGGTGGAGATGGAAGAGGAGAGGCTACGCATGCGAGAGCATGTCATGAAAAATGTAAACACCTTTCCTGGTATTTTAAGGCTAGCTAAATCATAAATAGATATTTCAGTTTAACCACTTGCTGCCCCATCACAGTAAATATACTATGACAGGGCAGCAGCTTCAGCGTCCGCAATGTAAATAAACGTTGCAAGCCTTCTTCTGGGGTGCACGTGCCCATGGCTGACCCGTGCTGTGGTTGAACACAGCGGGATTTTGTCAGCAGGTCCTGGCCAATGATTTATGGCTAAGACTTGCTGATTGGCTGTGTCAAATCTTAGCAAAGAGCCATATGTTTACAAACAACATCGAGCTCTGTAAACAGAACAGCTATCTGGCTGTTTCTTCTCCCTGCAAAGCAGGGAGAAAAAAAAACAGCCACATCTCTTAGTAAAAGCAGCACTTATCACACATATTAGGCTTGTTGGGCACACAGTTAACGCTTTGATTTCCCCTTGATGATGGCCGAAATTGTTGGCACCCTTGATATTTCTCCAGGAAATCATGTATTTCTCACGAAACGTATTGCATTAACACATGTTTTGCTATACACATGTTTATTCCCTTTGTGTGTATTGGGACAAAACAAAAAAAGGGAGGAAAGAAAGCAAATTCGACATAATGTCACACAAACCTCCAAAAATGGGCTGGACAAAAGTATTGGCACCCTTTCACAACTGCGGATAAATAAGAATGTTACAAGCATGTGATGCTCCTGTAAACTCACCTGGGGCAAGTAACAGGTGTGGGCAATATAGAAATCACACCTGAAAGCAGATAAAAAGGAGAGACGTTCACTTAACCTTTGCATTGTGTGTCTGTCTGTGCCACACTAAGCATGGACAACAGAAAGAGGAGACGAGAACTGTCTGAGGACCTGAGAACCAAAATTGTGGCAAAATATCAACAATCTCAAGGTTACAAGTCCATCTCCAGAGAACTAGATTTGCCTTTGTCCACAGTGCGCAACATTATCAAGAAGTTTGCAACCCATGGCACTGTAGCTAATCTCCCTGGTCGTGGACGGATGAGGAAAATTGATGAAAGATTGCAACGCAGAATAGTCCGGATGGTGGATAAGCAGCCCCAAACATGTTCCAAAGACATTCAAGCTGTCCTGCAGGCTCAGGGAGCATCAGTGTCAGCGCGAACTATCCGTCGACATTTAAATGAAATGAAACGCTATGGCAGGAGACCCAGGAGGACCCCACTGCTGACACAGAGACATAAAAAAGCAAGACTACAGTTTGCCAAAATGTACTTGAGTAAGCCAAAAGCCTTCTGGGAAAACGTCTTGTGGACAGATGAGACCAAGATAGAGCTTTTCGGTAAAGCACATCATTCTACTGTTTACCGAAAACGGAATGAGGCCTACAAAGAACAAAACACAGTACCTACGGTAAAATATGGTGGAGGTTCAATGATGTTTTGGGGTTGTTTTGCTGCCTCTGGCACTGGGTGCCTTGACTGTGTGCAAGGCATCATGAAATCTGAGGATTACCAAAGGATTTTGGGTCGCACTGTAGGGCCCAGTGTCAGAAAGCTGGGTTTGCGTCCAAGATCCTGGGTCTTCCAGCAGGACAATGACCCCAAACATACGTCAAAAAGCACTCAGAAATGGATGGCAAAGAAGCGCTGGAGAGTTCTGAAGTGGCCAGCAATGAGCCCAGATCTAAATCCCATTGAACACCTGTGGAGAGATCTTAAAATTGCTGTTGGGAAAAGGTGTCCTTCCAATAAGAGAGACCTGGAGCTGTTTGCAAAGGAAGAGTGGTCCAAAATTCCGGGTGAGAGGTGTCAGAAGCTTATTGATGGTTATAGGAAGCGACTGATTTCAGTTATGTTTTCCAAAGGGTGTGCAACCAAATATTAAGTTAAGGGTGCCAATACTTTTGTCCAGCCCATTTTTGGGGTTTTGTGTGACATTATGTCATATTTGCTTTTCTGCCTCTGTTTTATATTTGTTCCAATACATACAAAGGGAATAAACATGTGTATAGCAAAACATGTGTTAATGCAATACCTTTTTTGTGTGAAATACTTGATTTTCAGGAAAAAATTTTTTATTGGATATGTTTTATAACAGAAAGTAGAAACTATTGATTGTATGCCCCTTGAGGGTTAGGGACTGATGTGAATGTACAATTTATATGTAAAGCGCTGTGTCAATTGACGGCGCTATATAAGTACCTGTAATAATAATAAGCATGAGTAAAATGACAGGTTATCAATGTCTTTCTTCAGGTGGATACAAATCAAGATCGCCTAGTAACACTGGAAGAGTTCCTGAAATCCACAGAGAGTAAAGACTTCAATAACCCCCCTGATGGCTGGCAGGTAAGAAATTGTACAATATGGAAAGGAAAGTCCATTGAACCACATATATAGAACCATGAGGCCATCCTGTATGTTCTATACCAGTACATAAATAAACCGCCATGCTCTATGCACATATAAATGCAATAGACAGCAGGACTTAGAGGTAACAGAGCTGTAAACTAATATTCCTTACAAATTGACATGGATTGTTTGAAACCAACATCACATTACAGAGGCAGACTGTATTTTCTCTTCTGGAATGCTACGACGTAATTGATTCCTGGTGACATTTCATAAACGAGGATTTTAAAAATAGCTGTCACTATTGAGACAAGTGTGTACATGAAAATATAGAATGCTGACCGCAATACGTATATAAACGTTGTGGTTTACCTGGGTTATGGCTGACGAAATCAGCCATAACCACAGTACCTTTTTTATCAGTGAAAAGCCAGCTTTCTTCACATGAAAATGGTCTTAGAGGCTCTTGAGTAGTTGGATCACTTTCCGTAGCGGCAGAAGGGGATGTACCCCCACCCCTTCCCACTGCTCACCAGTGTTTATTGGGCTTACCGTCAACACTGGACTGCCCGAGAAACGATCCGATGGTGCTGCCTCCTCAAGATGGCAGCGATGAAAGAGTCTGTGGTCTTTGATCACCTCTATCATGATGGAGGACTGCAGCGACATCAAGACACCACATCCAGTTGTCAACAGATGTAAACATTCTTTTCTTTTGCTTTTAAAAAAAAAATGTTAAAACAACAAAAAAAGTATCTTTTGCTTTTAAAGGTAAAGAAGAGGTTTGGGGTCTTTTTGACCTGTCATGTATATTTCTATTATAAGGGATGTTTACATTCCTTGTAATAGGAATAAAAGTGGTAAAAAAAAAAAAAAAAAAATTAAAATGTCCCCATCCCACCATGTTTGCACGCAGAGGTGAATGTGTATGCAAATCACACATACATATAAATGGTGGGGTATCACCGTGAACGTTAACGTGAGCGCAATAATTCTACTGCTAGACCTCCTCTTTCAACATTTTTACAGGTTACCTGTTAACCCTTGAGGACCAAGGGACGTATTTGTTGTACATGTTTTTAATTGCGTGTATCGTCTGATTAAGAACTTAAAACTTTTTTTTTTTTTTTTTTGGTTTGAGTCAAAATATTAGTTCTTATCAACAAACAACAAATGGATCTAGCTTTTTGCCAATTATTTCATGAAATGGTTTAGTTACAGCAACTGAAGTGTACAAACTTTAAAAACAAAAAAATTGATTCTTTTGGCGTTCCAAAACCTTACGGTCCTCAAAGGGTTAAAGAGTTACAATGACCCCTATGGAGATTTTTAAGTACCATAGTTTGTCGCCATTCCACAATTGAGGTATATCGTGTGTGTGTCTGTAAAATGTTTGGGGGTTCTAAGTAATTTTATAGCAAAAAATATCAATTTATACTTGTATACAAAACATCCCAGAAACTGCTTGGTCTTCAAGTGGTTAAATGAATGTGTTTATCCCTTTTCATCCAGACTGTGGAAGAAACCCAGATTTACACTGAACAGGAATTGCGGCGATTTGAGCAGGAGCTGGTTGCTCAGGAAGCCGCTTTAAACCAGAAAGCAGAAGAATTACGCAAAGAACATGAGGTTCTTCAGCAGAGGAAGATAGAGCTGGATGCACAGAAGAAGGAATTTCAGCAGGTAAACTCCACCTGGAACCTGTGAAGGACTTGTCCTTAGGGGTGCTTTAATTGCACGGAAGCGGTTATATAGTCTTATATGAATTTATCTGCCTTTTAATGAGAAGTTTATAGAAATTAGGCAATATTGCAGAACAGGTATCTAACAATATCTACCTGATCAACTAGGCTGTGTCAGCACAGCTGATTCTAGATAAGGGCTTAACCAGCAATTAGCTCCTGCGTTTCCTGTAGAAGGTATAGCGTTCAGAACTGCAAATCGTTAAAGCTGAAGTTTAGGTATGCATGGTTTTGCATTGTTACATTAATCCAGCTTAGACAAATGTAAGTATGCATGTATCATACCTGGAAGCTGGAAATCGCTGTAGTAGGCTTCACTACTACAGTGATTGTTGCCAGTTTCCTGGGTCCCTGCTGCTTAGTGAACTCAGGATATTGCTCACTCAGCACAGATGCCATTCAGAGAACGAGGAAAGAACAAACAGAGGGCGCACAGTGCCTAGTGCATTACCATAAAAAATGTTTAAAAAGAAATAAAGTAGGTGTTGTACTCACAAACGACAAGTGGCTCTGAGGAAGAGGCAAGTCCTTGAAACGCGTCAGCCTATTGGATGTCTACACTCCCTATTGCGGACTGTTACTCAGCGCGGTGTTGACCCAGCTGTTCTTTTATGATGTGCCTTGACTATATTGTCATTTGTGAGTACAACACCTACTTTATTTTTTATTAAACATTTTTTATGGTAATGCACTAGGCCTGTGCGCCCTCTGTTTGTTCTTTCCTCCTTCAGTATATTTGGATTCTCCCGGTCTATTGAGGGCAACAAGGTGTGCATGTTCCAGGACATTCTTAATGTGGTTGTAGCCTGCATCGAGTCCATCCCCAAGCGCAGGAGCATTTGTGATTGCTGGTTCTTTGCCATTCAGAGAACACCTTGCATTTTCTCAGTGACTGCAAAGTGTTCTGTGATTGGATGAAGTGGAGATTGACGTACCCTCTCTGTCCAATTGGAGAACGATTTGCACTCGTTAAGTATAGCAGCCACTTGACACTGGACCCTGCAGCTAACAAATCAATCTAGTAGCAGTAAAAAAATAATATAAAGTCACTAGGCAATTATTTAAAAGAAACCTCCCCCTAACTAAGCAGCGAAATCTGCGCAAATACCGTGTGACATTAAAAATTGCAACACCCGCCAATTTATTCTCTAGGGCTTCTGCTAAAAATATATAATTCTTGGGGGTTTTAAGCCATTTTCTAGAAACAAAAATACTGATTTTTACATTCAGGAGAGAAATGTCAGAATTGGCCCTGTAGGGAACTGGTTAACACATTCCAAAGATATTAACCTGGTTCTTATTTCTTGCCAGGCGGTCATTCAGATGGAACAGCAGAAGTCTCAACAAGCTGCAGCACAAGCTGTTGGCCCCAATGGAGAGCTCAAGTTTCAGGCACAAGTACAAGAAGTAGCAGCAGCTGAAAAAGGTAAAGATTATAGACTATATATTCACTAATGAATTAAAATACATTTGCAGTCTTTTTAGTCTACTTCTCCCTCATACACAACGTCCTGCAAACTGTTACCCCCCCATTCCTCTCACTTCATGTTGTATCAATAGAACTGGAAGTAAAGAACATATCGCCAGCAGGGAAATGACAATTAAAGTTTTTTTTTTTTTTTTTTTTTTTTCTTTTAATATGTATATATATACAACCTCTGTTGTATTTAAATTGCTGGCTACCTGTTGATCATATTCCCTTACTTTACAGCTTGTGTCACTAGAACAGGAAATTTGAGAAAATAAAAATCTGACCTAGGTTTTAGCCCTTCCTGGTCTACCTGAAAATTGCTGGAGTTCTGCTTTAATCTTGATTTTACTGATACGTTTACAGACTTGATGATCCTGTTTATTATGATAGCATGATATTTATGTACTACTTTTAAGCTTCCATAGAATTGGGCTCCAGTTATGTGTCACATCCTTATGTACAGTGGGGAAAAAAAGTATTTAGTTAGCCACCAATTGTGCAAGTTCTCCCACTTAAAAAGATGAGAGAGGCCTGTAATTGGCATCATAGGTAGACCTCAACTATGAGAGACAAAATGAGAAAAGAAATCCAGACAATCACATTGGCTGATTTGGAAAGAATTTATTTGGAAATTATGGTGGAAAATAAATATTTGGTCACCTACAAACAAGCAAGATTTCTGGCTCTCACAGACCTGTACCTTCTTCTTTAAGAGGCTCCTCTGTCCTGCACTCATTACCTGTATCAATGGCACCTGTTTGAACTTGTTATCAGTATAAAAGACACCTGTCCACAACCTCAAACAGTCACACTCCAAACTCCACCATGGTGAAGACCAAAGAGCTGTCGAAGGACACCAGAAACAAAGTTGTAGACCTGCACCAGGCTGGGAAGACTGAATCTTTAATAGACAAGCTGCTTGGTGTGAACAAATAAACTGTGGGAGCAATAATTAGAAAATGGAAGACATACAAGACCACTGATAATCTCCCTCGATCTGGGGCTCCACGCAAGATCTCACCCCGTGGGGTCAAAATGATCACAAGAACGGTGAGCACAAATCCCAGGACCACACAGGGGGACCTAGTGAATGACCTGCAGAGAGCTGGGACCAATGTAACAAAGGCTACCATCAGTAACACACTACGCCGCCAGGGACTCAGATCCTGCAGTGCCAGACGTGTCCCCCTGCTTAAGCCAGTACATGTCCGGGCCCGTCTGAAGTTTGCTAGAGAGCATTTGGATGATCCAGAAGAGTATTGGGAGAATGTCATATGGTCAGATGAAACCAAAATAGAACTGTTTGGTAGAAACACAACTCGTGAATGCTGAGTTGCATCCAAAGAACACCATACCTACTGTGAAGCATGGGGGTGGCAACATCATGCTTTGGGGCTGTTTCTCCACAAAGGGACCAGGACGACTGATCCATGTACAGGACAGAATGAATGGGGCCATGTATCGTGAGATTTTGAGTGCAAACCTCCTTCCATCAGCAAGGGCATTGAAGATGAAACGTGGCTGGGTCTTCCAACATGACAATGATCCCAAACATACCGCCCGGGCAACGAAGGAGTGGCTTCGTAAGAAGCATTTCAAGGTCCTGGAGTGGCCTAGCCAGTCTCCAGGTCTCAACCCCATAAAAAAAAACCTTTGGAGGGAGTTGAAAGTCCGTGTTGCCCAGCAACAGCCCCAAAACATCACTGCTCTAGAGGAGATCTGCATGGAGGAATGGGCCAACATACCAGCAACAGTGTGTGTCAACCTTGTGAAGACTTGCAGGAAACGTTTGACCTCTGTCATTGCCAACAAAGGATATATAACAAAGTATTGAGATGAACATTTGATATTGACCAAATACTTATTTTCCACCATAATTTGCAAATAAATTCTTTCCAAATCAGCCAATGTGATTGTCTGGATTTTTTTCTCATTTTGTCTCTCATAGTTGAGGTCTACCTATGATGCCAATTACAGGCCTCTCTCATCTTTTTAAGTGGGAGAACTTGCACAATTGGTGGCTGACTAAATGCTTTTTTGCCCCACTGTATATTAACAGTATCAAAATAGAGGAAGGAAATGGTTAGACTTTTGAGTCACTTCACTGGTACAAAATGTTTCATGAAAAAATAAAACCACCTTTTTTTCTTACAGGTAAACATTTAATAGCAGTACATTTAAACATTTAAATAACTGTAAAGATCCAGATACAGACAATTGCCTGATCACCTGTTTTGGAAACTCAAAATATAGAAATTGGATACAACCAATTTTAATTTATTATCAAATTGGGATGCATGGTGTCATATAGGCAGCATTGAACTCAACACACTTTTCGGAAAGAGATTTTCCACTTCAGGAGTTTGTATGGTCAGTACTGTAGTGACAATAAAGGGTGGAAAGGCTGAAGGTTTTTTACCTTCATGCATTCTATGCATAAAGGTAAAAAACCTTTTGTGTGCAGCAGCTCACCCAGTCCCCCCTAATACTTACCTGAGCCCCATCTTGATCCAGCAAAGTGCACAAGAGCCTTGGCTCCTCTGGGTCTCTCCCTTCTCATTGGCAGAGACAGTAGCTATTGGCTCCCGCTACTGTCAATCACAGCTAGTGAGCCAGTGAGGAGAGAGGGAACGTGGCTCAGCCCCGTCTCCTCATGTGTGAATGGACACTCAGAGCAATGGCTCGGGTGCCCCCATAGCAAGTAGCTTTATTATTTAGGTGGGGGTGCCTGGAGTGCTAGCCGGGGACCCAAGAAGAGCAGGTTAGTATTACATGTTTGTTATTATTTAAAAAAAAAAAAACAAACAAAAACCTTTTAATGTCACTTTAAAGAATATTTGCAATTAATTTCTTTCGTGTGATATTCCAGTATTATAATAAAGGTTTCAATATTGTTAGATTTGCAAAGAAACATTTCTATCCTACCACGTGGGTACGATGGTTGTATGTTGAGTGTCTCAGAAGTCCAACAATTTCCCTCCTCTGTTTTAATACTTGATGTACCACTTTTGAGGATCCCCCACACTGCCCACCATTGTTTTTGATAGGAACTGTTAGATACCAGACATTGACATTGAGCTGTTGTTTTACAGCCAACCCAGAAGCACAGCAAGGCTCAGAAATTCACCCAGCACCACCAGGAGAAGCACCACATCCAGGCGACAAAGCGGTTGAGACTCCGCAGGAGACGCATGTACAAAACCAGCAATAAGAGTCCAGAGACCCCCAGGATGGAGAATGCATCAGGGAAGCAAGTAGTGTTGACCTCTATCTTAGCTTCTCCCCTATGTATCCCCTCTGAAGATCAATCAAGGGATGTGCAGTCGCCCTCTGGGAAAATCTCTCACATTGGGAATCAGGCTTCTTGTTTTCAAAAAACAAACTTACAAATAAAATAAAAACTGTGGGGAATTGGGCAGGTTTTAACCCAGAAACATACTTTCTGTTATCCTCCGGACTGCTTATTTGGCTCTGACCTACCACCTTCCGGGATGTTGTTCATGCAGTTTGGAATGATCATGAAGATCAATAACTTTGTGTCAAAAAGTGGTGTATGTAGCATCCTCCATAGGAAATGTATAATGTTCTGTCTGGCTTGTAACTGCACCTGGTACTCATAGAAATATCAACCCCCTCCTCCCCCTTCTTTTTGTTTTATGTTTTTTTGACAGTTCTGCACTTGAGTGAAGTGTTTGACAATGGCAGTGCCTGAATGACAGAAGTAATTAGTGAAGCAGTAACCAAATTGCCAGGCAAATCGAACTGGATACTAAAGAAGATTACCAGTTTAGACAAATACCTTTTATCAGGATTGCCTTTACCAAGCAGTAACACGCCCCACAGCAGCCTTGTAAACTGCATTTAATGCTCAATGGATTCACTTTTGACAATTTAGATTCAATGTGTCTCAGAGCACCATTGCATTTTACAAAACATTGCATTACCAGATGTTACAAGAAGATTAAAATACATGTGAGACCTAGAACAGTTTTAAGTTTGGTACAACTGAGGGCTTCGACCTATGCTAAGAATGCTTGAGGAGCTGTCTTGTTGTGAAAATAGGTAGGTAGCAATCATTAGTATTGATTGATCACTGTTTATTTCAAACAGATGGCTACCCTATGGTGTAAGCTACACATGCATCATGTAGTAGTGATTGATCCCACGTGATAGCATAATGCTCTGGCTGTGTGCAATTAATTGCTAATACATGCTGTTTGTGTAAGGGTGTATTGGTTATCCATAAGTCTAATGTTGGCAACTTAATTGCTAACAATTTTAGTAATGCAGTCGAGCTACCACAATGCGCTGTGTATCATAGGCTTAAGGAGTTGTTTAGGAATTGGCATTGCACTGCACCTTACCACCCCAGATGTAACAAGCAAATGGGTATTTTCCAGTTAAAATTGAAAGGTAATTTTAAACAAAAGTGGTCCCTGATCCAGTCTTGCACGGTGACAGGATTCCTTGCTGGCCTAGGTGACCATCAGATTTCACCTGCAAATAATGTTAGGTCCTGCTGATACAATGACATTCAACGCAAACCTGTACTTTGCCCATACTAGTAACCATTTCACTGGATGAGGCACCATAACCTGCCTGTACTGCCTTTCCTGCACCCCTGCTGCCAGAGTCCCCTGAAGCGGGGAAGCGTGTGACTTGAAGGTGTGTTGAGATTATCCAGAATCATAATCTGATGCCAGCAGTACGTTTCAGGCACTGGAGAGTCTGGGCTACTGGGAATTGCAGTCCAACATGATGTCCAAGAAAGAAATGTAATGGAAACCTTTTTATTTCAGATGTAATTTTAAAGATTTCTTTTTCACCTAATAAATATAATTTTGAAACCATCTCTGCCATTTACTGTGTGTTTTGAATATTTTTATGGCTTTTTACACTGACTAATTTAGGTTTAGCATCATTGCCACAGAACTTGTTGAGAGAGATATAGTTTTATTTTTAATGATTTGATATATATTTCCTCCTGTGAGACTGTTGTCTGTTTTTCTGCCACATACATGAGGATTGGATGCTGACAAACTTCTGTAGGGCAGCTCTTCAGGTTTTTGTTTTTTTTTTTTTCTTTTAATGGGTTGTTTTATTGACTTTATTAGAGCTTGATTACTACATTGGTGCTCATGCTGGTCTGTACATAGCAAGCAACCATCCAGATCAGCCTTTCTTCAGCCTGACTTCAGAGTGCTGTACTCAGGTCCAGAGCCACAGCATTACCAAAGTGCTTGCTCGTCTCTGAATATTCTCTGTTGCATAAGGTCATTCATGCTGAAGCTGCAGCAGCTATCCTATGGTTTACATCACTGGGCATCTTTGAAATTTCCTTCTACAGCTGATTATACTGCAGAAAGGGTAAAGGCTGAGAGATTTAACACTGATGTCATCCGCTGGGTGGAGGTTTGTGTGCAGTCCACACTTTTTCCCACCGGTTGAGGAAGCACCATCTCCCTCCCTGCTGCTCCTGCTTTACAGAGGAACATGTGGAACTCCAGTCTCTGGCTGCTCCTACTGACTGCCTGATCACCTCCAGTTATCTGACCCTCATCAGCATGAGCAGCTGGGTTTACCAGTACCTGAGGCTCTAACTTTCACTATAGGTCTTGTTGCATCACTGAAATGCAGACACAACATGACTTATGCAGAGGAGACAGTCCTGCTAGTGGAGGTGACCACAGCTGGACCACGTGACCATCTCTGACTCAGTCTCAACAATCTGTCTGAATAGACTGCTCCTAAAGCATCAGTGTTCTGCTATCACTACAGATAACAAGGGGTTGTTCCAGACTTTATTGATGCAGTGCATACTACCATCGCATTTGGAGGATAAGCCTTCTGCCTTGGGTCTTTCAGAGCTCCTTTAGCTGCAAATACATTTCCACTACGCACAATATTTGTGGTATTCCTCTATATGAAATGGAAACACCAATGATGGGTCCTAGTCCCCACTTGAAATTGTGTTGGAGCAGTTTCTCTTTTGGGAGGGAACTTGTTAGATGTTGGTCTATAAAAACTGTAAATTTGAGCAGTGAACCACCTTAATTGGATAACTGCCAAACAGGTAGAGGGCATGCTTACCTTTTAGGCTCCATGCACACTGGGCGTTTTAATAACGCTGGTAACAATAGCTGTGTAGTCCCGTTTAAAAATGTGAGTCAGTGGTTTTTAGTGTTTTTGCATTCGTGTTTAGCCACGTTTTTGTTTTTTTGTTTTTTTTTTGAGCAAAACAAAAAAAGACCAAAAACACTGGCTTACCACGTTTTGCCGCGTTTTTCAGCGTTAGAGCGCTTTTACAGCTAAAAAAAAACTCCTCTACAAAACGCCCCTGCCAAAAAACACTGATTACAGTCTGTGTATGGACACATAGGATAATATGCTGGGGAGTTTACTGGCTGTAGGAAAAAAAAAAACAGCCGCTGTAAAAACTTCCAGTGTGCATGAGGACTTAAGGGTTCTACTGACAGTTGAAATTTATTCTTAAATCCCAGTTTGCTCTGGCAGGTTCTGCCCCTTGATCGGTTTGTGGCTGTACCCTAATCTGGTAAACCATGGCAGAATTGGTAAGATACCCATAGCTGTGCTGCCTGCACAACTGTGTATTTATTTCATAAAGATCTGCAAATGAATAAACTACATGTACCATTGGCCACCTTGGCAGACACTTGCCATTCTCAATTGACCACAACTGCAGTAAACAGAGCTCTCGTAGTCCATTAATACTTCCTCCAGCTTTCTAACTGAAAGCCTGTACGGTCAGAGCTGGAGGAAGTGTGTTTAGGAGCCTGACCTTGTACCTGCAATCCATCAACCCTAGCCTGGCTGCAATGCTTTGCATGCTCCCAGGGAAAAAAAAAAATCTAAAAATATAGTTTTTTTTTTTTGTTTTTTTTCTCTGTTTCTGCACAGGGACAAGACAGCATTTTAAGCTTAGGACTTCCTACTTGTCTTTGGGGTTCATGTCAAGTATATCTACCACGGCTTCTTTTAGAAAGACTACCTTTGTGTCATCCTGGATGGTGCCCCATAAACGGTGGAAGAACTTTTTAGTCCATCTTTAGATCAAACAGACCATTACCTATGAATATGGTCTCATAGATCAGGTTCCTATTTTCCCCATCAAGGCACACTCTACTATGGTAGATCTGCGAGTGTAAAGTGGGAATTTTTTTTGCATCAAGCTATGGGTTCCCATATTTGCCAGGCTGCTACCTGTCTTCTGTTCACACATTCTACTACTACAGGTGGATGTTCAGGTATCATCTGAATCAAGCTTTGCATGTAAAGTCCTAAGGCAGCTCTGAGCAGCAGGCAGTTGTCTTGTTTTCCTGGGCCTGCTAGCATTGTTTGCTGTGTTGCCCATCCTATAACTGATCTGCTTTCCCAAAGACAAAATGATTTCTTATGTCCAATGGACAAGAAAATCATCTTTCAAAGCTCAGCTCCAAGAAAAAACCGCCACCCCTCCAATCTCTCCCACACTTGCCTATCTAATTTAACCTTTTGTACTTATTGGAGTCCACCCTCACATAATCAACTGTAGAAACTGCTCCAGTACTGGAGAAATGGTGACTTGCCACTAAAGTCCTGGCCCTCCAGTCTTTCCACCCCTTATGAGGTTTTAGAATCACTGGAAGTTTCAGAACCTCTTGAACACTTACCATTGGCTGATAAAGATGTCCAACAAAATGCTCATGTTCCCTGTGAAAAACATGGCCACTAGGTAAAACTTTATCTGAAGCTAAAATGTTTGTTTTGAGAGGGAGGAGGCTAAAAACCCATCATGTTTTAAGTGCTGTCTGTGTCCCCACTGAGATTTACCCTTTGTCCTAGTGCAGTGGTGGGCAACCTTTTTTTTTTTTTCAACTGAGCCAAATCTCGCCAAAACCACAATTGAAATTAATTTTGAGAGCCACATTTTTAAAACAGAAAATACATCCCCCCCATAGTAATTCATCCCCCATATTAAGTTCCCAAGTCCCCCCTGTGTCAAGTCACTTACCTTTGCTCTGCGCGTTCTTCTCGCCGTGTTCCCACGCCGTTCTGGTCTTCAGGGCGGACTGTGAGAGGAGAGGAGTTCGTCACGCTGCCCCGCCTACATCCTGGCTGCCCCGCCTACATCCTGACAGCTGCAGAGTCCTGACTTTTGGGGTGGCCGCCCGAGAGGAGGGAGGGGAGCGGGCGCCCGGCACACAGAAGAGCCGCATTTAAGTTTGTAAAGAGCCGCATGTGGCTCGCGAGCCGCGGCTTGCTGACCACTGTCCTAGTGGCATTGTCACTGGGACAGAACAGAATTGGAAAAGCCTAAAATGTTGAGTAGTCTCCATAACCTTTCAAAAAGGGTAACTGTCCAAAAGGGGTTTCCCCTACTTTGGCAAAATTTCACTTCCTGTATAGTCTATGGGACAGGAAGTGAACGGAGATTCCCTGCAATAGGATACACAAGGCAAAACACCCTATAACCAAGGTTTTAACCATTCCCTGTTCTAATCATATTCAGGTTTTGGCTTCAGATTTACTTTGAACTAAATTTTTTTGCTTTCCCCGAAATGTTTGCAGTTTGGACTTTGCTTGGCATTGGTTATATTTTCTCTCAGATATCTACACCAGTTTCAAGAACAATATCAGCCACTTAAAAATGTTATGGTTAAAAAGAACCCAACAACTTTTGTACATTACAAAACTAAATGTTTATTTACAAATTCAAATAAATAAAAACTCCCAAAAGTTAACAAAATCAAGTTGTTACAATTAAAAAAAGGACCTTCCACAACTAGTGGAAGCAAATAGGTAGGTTTTAACTAGAAGTTTGATTTTACCTCTAGACAGCAGAGTGAGCACACATTTATCAAGTCATTTGTTTACTTTTTAGTACTAAGGGCTCTTTAATACTATATCACATGTGGTAGAAGTGCATTATGGTAATGCATTTGTGCCTTTTGCTTCAAATTAAAAATGATCCTGACATAGTACAGGTTTAAATTCTGTCCGTTACATGAAAATAGGTCCTGCACTAATCTGTACAGAGATGTTTTGATAGCCCATTCAAAAGGATGTCTTACATAAAATGGTGTAAAAAAAGTGACATAAGCAAATGCTTTCTTCCAGTGCGTGTGTGGTGTGAGTTTGACATCTCAGCATTTTCATCAAGCTACAGAAAAAGCAAGCTGAGGTAGAATTTAACAATCCTGTGGTTAGACAGAGCCCTAAGTACTGTAGCATTTAAAAAAAAAAAAAAAAAAAAGTACAAACTCTGCATAGGTTTTTCTTCAGGGTCTTCAGTTTCCTGCCAAGCCTGAAATGCAGTGACAGGAGACAGAACCTCATGCTAACACAATAAGAACTCCCTTTAATAGCCATGCAAGTTATTGGCACAGAACAATGGCTCATACATACAAAGGATCAACCAAAATAAACGTAGTATGTTACTGAAATCAGAAATGTAGTGCAAAAAATATTAACACCAGATGAAGTGGGACTGTTCTGGGTGCTTTTTCCAGTAGAGCCCCACCACATGTCAAGGCAAAATGCCTAATCTTCTGTGTGCCGATTCACACCACCGCATTGCAGTGGTGTGTGTGGGCACGGTGAGCTGAAAAAGTAGTGCATGTAGTTCTTTTCAGCACACTGTGAGGCACTGCAAAGAAGCCAACTGAACTTTATGAAATGTCTGCGTGACATTTCAATAAAGTTCATAAAAAAAAAAAAAAAAGGGAACAGTGCTGTACAGAGCATTAATTCCCACCAGATCGCATCACACACCAGCCACTGCTTTATAAAGTGCCAGCTGATGTGAATGGACCCTTAGCAAACACTGTCAGATGAGTGCAACAGTAGTCTGGTTCAGTACAACTATACTTGCTCAGTGCTAAACTATGGGGTCACAGTTGTGTACAAGAACCTATGCGGAAACATTGATACTGCTATTAACTGCTTTCATGGTTTGTAATATTAAGAGAGTCCATCAAGTACTTTCAGCAACTAAGATCTCAGTTTTATTCAAAGTGTCTTGCAGTCCAGATCTTCTCCCTGTGACCAGGTTGTAGGCAGAAGCCAATAACAGCCTCAGTCTCGGCAATTCGTTTCTGGAAGCGACTGCGATCACGAGCATACTCTTCCCATGGTCCTTTGCGAGACATTCTGTAAGCGTAGCTCCATGTAACCATACGGTGAACAGTGACATTGGAAGAGAAACACACCTGGAAGAAGTTGTAACATTTATTACTGGAATTCTGCAATGTAGTTCAGCATATATAGTACAGTGACTGCACCACAGTGGCAAAATGCAAGATGTATTTGGGTAAACCAGAGAAGTGCCTCTCATATGAGTTTTCAGGTTCACAACATCTGTCTATAACACCTGTTCAGTAAGCTGAAATCCCAGTTGTGTTGTGTTTCTACATTTGCAATGTGTTGCCAAGTGAACCCACGTATTAATATACATGTCATCTGTCAGTGTTTACACGTTTCAACAAATGCATTTGTGATACCACTAAGATTTGTCACTGGTTGCTCACTTTGCCTAATTACACAAAGATCTAATTTTGGAACTCTGTAAAAATAAAGTCAAAGCCAAAGTCTCAGGTTAATGTTAACACATAAAATGCTTGGCAACCAAAAACAGCAAGGAGGCAATTAAAGGCGGTTCCAGTAACATTACAAAAGGATTGCATGATGTGATGACACCACCACTGTGCAACTGGTTGCTATGGCTGAGTCAGACTACTCCCAGACTTCCCATTCTTTCTCTGGGAGGGTTGTACTCTCACAGATCACCTGACAGTTTCAGAAGGTGGCATCAGGGCCCTCAGGAGACCTTATGCAATGGTGTGCAATTTTAGTCTGCTCTGTCTAAGAGGAGATGCTGCCAGATGTGGGGTCAAAGGAGAACTGTGACAGAGAATCTAAGCTATTTTCAGAATATCTGTAAATTATACAAGATAAGACTGCAGCTAAATATTCATATGGAATGCAGTAGATATGTTTACAGTATCTTCAGATGCACAAGCTAGGGGACTTATCCAAATATATAGAGTCTGACTCAGGAGTTGGTTGGGTGGATGGTTGGCTCTGATCAAACATAAGCTGGAAAGATGATCAAGTAGGTATAGATACACTATTAAAAGTTATATCAACCAGGTTACCAATGTATTGTAAACAAGATGGCTATTACATTAGGGGGCTAAAACGGTTTTACGGGAACCAGACAGAACTGAAATAAGAGTAATGATGAAGGTGCATCCTCTTGGACCATTATCCTATCCAATTTATTACAAGCAGCAAAGTGCCACGTACACTTGGTCCAGTTCATAGTCCAATATGAAGGTTAGAGAAGTGTGACAGCCCTGAAAGGTGAACATTTAAAAGCAAATGGCAATTGCAGCTCCCAAATTTCTATCCTGACATGTTACTAATAGGCTATTTTCACACTGATCCATAGAAAATTGTCGCAAAAATGCATGTGCATTTTTACTGCGTTTTTTTTTACAGGACATGGGACTACAAAAATGCAATGCAGGTGTGTTTTTGCAACCTTTTCTATTGATTTCAATGAAGAGTGTTTTTTTTTTTTTTCCCAGTTTACTGCACTTGGCCTGCACCAAAAATGCAGCAAGTAGGATTTAAATTAAAAAAAAAAAAAAAAAAAAAAAAAAAAAAAAAAAAAAAAAAAAAAACACAGCAGACCCGCAATGATCAATGTGAAGAGTTCCATAGGATTACAAAGTCACACATTTTTCTTCTGCTTTTTATTCCCAATGCAAAAGCAGAAGAAAACCGAATCAGTGTGAAAGCAGCCTTAAAACACAGAGAATGTTTACAAAGATGCAATACAATAGAAGCAGAAATTAAGGTACTCAACCCCAAACTAGTATTGATTTTACTAAAACTGGACCACTGCCCACAGAAACCATCAATTGCAAAATAAATGTGAAATATAACTAGTTACTACCTACTAGTAACTGGTTACTGTTACTAGTAGTTATCGTAAACTAACAAATTTAATCCAATTGGCATAGACCAGTATGATCTGTATGCATCTCTACCAGAAGCAATACATGCCTGTGGTATTTTCCACGACAAAAGAATGCCCACCCATATCTACCACCAATTCAGTCTAAATCTGCATATTTACCTTCTTAACTCCCGGGTTTGCAGGTTTCTTTATTTCTTCAAAGCATTCAGACTCGTCCTTCTGGCTGGCACACTTGGAAGAGCATTCAGAACTTGAAAGAACTGGCTTTTTGGCCTGTGGCTTCATAGTACAATTCAAAGTTTGAGATCCCCCATGCTCTTCAATGGAGGGACAACTTTTAGGGCTTCTGGTGGGCATGGCAAAAGAAAGTGGATTATATGGGTCATCATTCTGACAAAATGAAGCCCACAAGTCATCATCCCTACTGCAGTCCTCATCACTTTCTGAATCCCATGAATCATTCTCTTCATCTGACCAGTCACTTTCATCTCCACTTTCGTCCATATCTTCCTTGGACTTCGGAGTCCATGACTCCTGCATGCCACTGTCCACTGAGGAATCTTCAAGGGAAGAATCTTTTTCAGTCTCTTCATCTTCACACTCGGACTCGCTGAGGCTGGTCTCTTCAGATGGCAGCAAGCAATCACCATTGGATTCGCCATCAGATTCAAACTCACTAAGATCAGACTGTTCAGATGGGGATGAGGACTCCCCATCCTCTGATGGTACACAGATCATTGACAAAATGAAGGGGTTTGTACAGGATGTTAGAAGTGTCTCTTTGCTAACCATGACGTCCATGTCAGAAAACACTTTGTGCTCACACTCCTCTTCCATGTAAGTATTTTCCTGAAGAGTCTCCATTTTGGGACTTGGCAGCTCCTTTTCTGGAACCACACTCTGTTTATTTAACTCTGCTTTACAGCCCCAGTGACACTTTACAGAGCTGGTGTTCATTGGACTGTCCTGTATGTGTTGAATGCTTATTCATGTTCTTGTAAACCAATACATTGGTCATTTCCACAGCTATGATATTCCAGCACATCCACAGCACAGCTTCAAAAATTTTGCTCTTCCAATCTCCAGGAATCTTCCAACCCAACGGTCTTCTATGCAAGAGATTTCTGGCCAGTGTGAAAATGGACTGTGTAATTCTGGCAGCCATTGTTAACACCACCATATCTGTTCCAAGCTCACCAATGACAACCGGCATTTCAGGATGGTCTTTCATGGTGTCAATCTGGACAGCAGTTCCTCTATTCCAATGGGTCATCGGGGAGGTAAAATTCCTCCAGCACGAGCTAAAACAGAGGTAGCTGAGACTCATGTTCACAGATGCCCTGCAAGAAAACAAAAATATAAAACTTAGATGTCAATAATGAAGATCAGCTGCACAATTTCTGCTTAACACATTTTCTTCAAATATCAGAAACTATCCACCTAGACAAACAATATGTATTTGCCAAGGTTTGGAATTTATGATTCAAGTGTAAATTACCGGTGAGACGTTTAAAGGACTAGTAATAAAACAAAGCAGCCAATCTGGATCCAAAATATTGAAACTCATACTACAACAATTTCAAGAGGCTTCTTTAGAATACCTAAACTGGTCACACAACTATTTATGTAACTAGTAAATGAGCAGTCACAACAACATTGCTTACTAATCATCAGTTCCATAGCTGGTTTATGAATTTATAAAAGGAACATTGTGAAGCTGTAGGAAAAAAAAAAAAATCTTTAAGCTAGGAGAAATTTACAGCAAAATAAGGGGCCTGGGTCGATGCCATCAATCTGACAGTTTAAAAGTTGCTTCTGAGATCTTTCAGAATTCACCAAGTGCATTGACCCACTTCAAGCCTTGTGTGGGAATACAATTCCTGCTTGAGGGGAATAAAAACCCATCTACACATGAACTATGACTTCAGTCTAACAAGTCTAAGTAGAATGCACTAAAGTCTTGTATTCTGAGAAAAGAAGGGGTTTTTGTGAATGGGCGATGGGAAAGGAAAGGGAGGGTGAATGCCAGGATCTCCTCACTATGAGAGCTGGAGCTCAATTGTAATGCTGTAAAACAAGTGCCGTGTATAAAATCCAGCATGAATCTGATTTGTACAGTAAACAGCAGCGATCTAGGATAGGACAGACCTCAATAGAGGTAACTTGCACTATATCAGAAATACAACCTTGTGGAACAGACTTGGAAAATAAAGTGGCAGAAACCCCAGGAGATGCTCTAAAGGCTGCATTCACACTTCAGCGTTTTGTAGCTTGAAGCTCAAAAACTGCTCAAACTTAAAAAAAAAAAAACAAAAAAAAGCAAAAAACAGTTCTCTCTGGTGCCTATTTGTGCGATCAAGTGTGAACAGGCACCATAGAGAACAGTTGATTTTTTTTTTTTTTTGATCTTTTTGGGACTTCGAGCTATGAAATGCTCAGGTGTGAATGCAACCTAAATTGTAGGTTCTGCCAGACTAGCAAATATAGCTTCACAAGAATGGCACCTGGCGATATAGAGAAGTGATGGATTGAACTCAGTTGTAGTAAGACGTTCCAACAAGCAGGAAAAGATCCCCCATGCAAAGAGTGCCCTGAACAGAGGAGCTCATTACCACCCCACTAGAAGATCAATCTCATTTATCACACATTCTATTCAAAACAAGGCAAGGGGCTGTAGATGATCAAGATCTGGGTATAAACTCTATAAAAAGCACCTCAACTGGGTAGAAGGGAAGAAAAGACTATATATAGACATGCTTCAAAAATAACAATGTTGCCTCATATGGAATTCTGCTGTCACTGCATTATACAATCCAAATACACGTTTCTTATTTATAGAGCCTTCAAAAAAATACATCTGCTTTGTCTGCACTGATACATCAGGGAGGGGTTGTACTAGAAGAAATTGCTCATGATGTGGTGATTCAGAGTCCATTCTGCTTCCTGCACCTCCCTCAGCAGGGCTGCCACGTGAGCTCAGTGGAATCTACAGAGCAGACACGCTTTCAGCATCATGGAACAAAGGTGAACCTCAACAGATCATTAATGGGGAAGGGGGTGTTAAGAGCGAAGTTCCACAATAATTACATGGACTATTTCTAATCCTTATGCTGCTAACATAAGTAAATCGATGGGAAAGTATCATATCTACTTGCTTTTAAACTTTTTTTTTTTTTTAGTTCTTCAGTTACTTGGTTTCTGGCCTTCGCAAATGACGACATACATCCCAGAAGTCTTCAGAAAAGGTTTTCTCAGCTAAGCGCACCCTCCTGCCTGAGCTAAGGGCAGATGGATTCCAGGGAGTAAATGCTACATGAATCATTTGCCCTTACTCAAGATGCGAAGTGCTAGAGGGTGTCTTTCAAAGTGATTACACAGCAAAATAAAATGGATAAATGGAAGGAAACACAAGTTTGCTCTGATTAAAAATGAATTAAAAGTGATTGTAAATGCTCATTTTTTGTTTACCTGCATGCATTCTATGCATGAAGGTAAAAAAAAAACCTTCTGTGTCCAGCTCCCCCCCCCCTTCCCCAATGAGTACCTGAGCCCCAGCGATACAGTTATGTGCACAAGAGCCTCTGAGGTATCGCCCTCCTTAATGGCTAAGACAGCCAATAAGGAGGCCATTGGCGCCTATTGCTGACAGAGAGCCAATGAGGAGGAGGGGGGCAAGCCACCGCTGTGTGCAAATTATTATTATTCAGGATTTATTTAGCGCCAACAGTTTGCTCAGCGCTTTACAATATAAAGGGAGACAATACAGCAACAATACAGTTCAATACAAGAGGGATAGGAGGGCCTGATCCTGGGAGCTTACAATCTAGGAGGGAATGTGAATGAACACGCAGTGCAGCAGCTCAGGAGGGAGCCTGCTTGGGGGGCTTTTGGCAGGAGGGAGAAACCAGGAGCACCAGTGGGGGACAAGAGAAGAGGATTTGGGGTGCTCTATTCAAACCCACTGCATAGAGCAAGTATAACAGGTTTGTTATTTTTAAAAAATGCCTTTAATATCACTTTAAATGTTTTTAGTTTGTGGTGCTCACAGGTCATGTAGTTCCACGTTAACACTCAAAGTAAAGATATTCTACCCAGTAGTGCATATAGATATATATAACATAGCCCCCAATTCACACAAGTGGATACCAAGGCTTTCATGGACAGGCTGTGAGAACCTAGAACTTAGGCTGCACTAATAGGCCTTTCCTCAGACATGAGAGCCTACACACACTATCCCACTCAGGCAGGCCATACATGGATCATCCAGCCAGCAGGTGATCAAATCAAAACTGAACAGATTCCCCCATCCACACATGTGATGAGGATGGGGGAATCCTCCCTGCTGTGGTGTTGTATTCTGACAGTGGGGACATCTCCACCATCACAAAACACTGATCAGTGCTGGTCCAAGGACAGTTTTCCAACAAGCCAGTCCGAGAGAGGTCACACCTTAGATTGATTTCTGTGGAAGAGGAACAGATGGATCAATATATGGACAGTCCTTGCTGAACTGGCTGGATTGTGATCCATCTATGGCCAGCGCTACACTGTGTAGTTGTTGCTTGATCTAAAGGAGGGTGAGCCGGCTGTAGTGTGTGCGGAGCCCATCGCAGCGCGCCGAGCCCATCGCAGCGCGCGCGTGGTGTACAGATCTCAGCGATCGGTAAGATCCAAACTACCCGGATGATTGCCCTGAGAACGCCAACTACCATGAATGTGTATAGGGGACACTCCCCACTGATGGGTTAGACCATCTTTCAGTGTCCCCACTATATGGAATGTCCTGCCTAATAATTGTCAGAGACATGAAGTGAAGGAGAAATGCACAATGATAGGTCGTCCCAGAAAAAGAGGGGAGGGGGACCTTCCAGGGACATCTGTCCTGAGCAGCCTGTGGTGTCAGTGGACAGGAATGGTACAGACAGTAGGGGGGTCACCCTTCCCAAACAATGGCAGCAGCTCCCCTTCAATCAGTGTCTATTGGGAGCTGTGTGTGGAGGGGATAAGAGCACTCAGGGAGAACATCCCAAGAAGACAGGGAGTGATGGAGGATCTTGGCTGACCGGCACTCTGCTGCCCCCTAGGCGCCTCCAGCCTGGTACTGCAGTCCCTGGGCCCCCCTCATGATCTCGGTCCCAGTCACCTTACCTGTCGGGGTGTCCGGTAGAAGTCAGCCTGTGACGAAGGCGCTCCAGCAGACGTTAGTGGTGGTCTCGTGGGCGGGGGGGTCGTCGATAACACGGTGATATCCGAGGTCGGGGACACGAGCTCTCCTGACTTTCCTCTGGTAGAACACACATAGCATTGGGGAGAACCGCGGTGCCTCTTCTATTGTCGCGCTATAAGCCATGCCTGGTCATCTGGCCGCTCACTGGATACGTCTCTCTGTCTGTGTTGTAAGTGGGGAAAACTGTGGAATCATTCGCCTACTGGGTATATAAAGGCTCTGCCGTCATTACGTCATTCCGTCATTCCAGAACGAAAAAATTCTAAAAGGGGTGTGATTTGACGGAAAGTACGTGACGTTCCCTGCGTTGGATTCTGAAAATAGACTCAGGGAGGGCAGAGGGGCGGGGCGGGGAGGTCACATGCTGGTCCTAAGGATCGTGACGGGACGAAAGTACAGCTGGATGTGACGGGAAATTACCATGGTGACCAGCAGTGCTTTTGTGTGTGGAGGGGGAGGGGAGGAAATGGGAAGTCCGGGGATAACAACGCTGAGCCTTTCACTATACAGATGTCATGAAACTTCTTATAAACACAGCAATAATAAACACACATGACCACAGTAATACACACACATGATCGCAGTAATACACACACATGACCGCAGTAATACACACGACCGCAGTAATACACACGACCGCAGTAATACACACGATCGCAGTAATGCACACACATGACTGCAGTAATACACACACATGACCGCAGTAATACACATACATGACCGCAGTAATACACATACATGACATCAATAATACATACACACACATGAGCAGTAATACATATACATGACAGCAATACACATACATGACAGCAATACACACACGACAGCAATAATACACATACATGAGAGCAATGATACACACACATGAGAGCAATAATACACACACATGACCGCAATAATACACAGACACCACAACAATAATACACACACAACAATAATACACACACATGAGAACAATAATACACATACATGAGAACAATAATACACAGATACCACTGTGGCAAACTTGCTCATCAGAATTGGAGCGGAGTTCCCCCTCAACCCTCTTTTCGTGTTCTGTCTGTTTATTTGAGGCATTCCTCAGCCTCATTCCTACCCTC